CACTTCACTTGAAATGGCCATTCATCCAACTGGAAAAATCATTTTGGAGTTCTTTGGAGTCTCTTTGACTTCATAAATATGAACAATTAGATGTCGACTGCATTGTTTGCCTCATTTTCTTTATTACTACAATTAAATTAAGTAGCTGTAGCTCAGCGATCATTTATCTTCCCTCATAATCAGAACTATTCAGTTATACTTGTCTGTTTTGCATTCATTTGTGAGTCATAAGAGGACCTATATTTCTAAAGAAGGGGGATCTTTATCAAAAGGTTTTTTTTTTTAAATCAAAGAATTCAGTTCAACCCACCTGGATTTAAGAATCCATTAAAAGGATATGTGAGTCCATAAATGCCAATCCAGAATGTGCTGATTTCGCAGGGCTGTTGATAACTCTCAATAGCTAGGATACTATGCTTCTGACTTGAATAAACAAACAATAAAAAATAAACAAATAAATAAACAAATAATAAAAGCTATAATTCCTTTTACCAAGCTTCTACTGATTTTCCACACAAAGACGTGTTCTTTTATATGTTTCAGAGTACAAGAATTCTGCTTTTAATTACCGTTTCTACCTACTACTTTGAGATATGCATTATCCTAATTCAGGCTGCAATGTTCTGTTCTTCTCTAGTAGCACACCAATACACATATGGCCACATTTAAAAATGGTTTTATTTGACATTCTGTTCTCTGGAAATTATTTTAACAGCAACTTGTCGGTTTTTGTTAGAAATTGGCAAAATCTCATCTGAACTCTTCAGGTGAAAATTATCTGGCTCCACTGATTAATTATTGTGTAATGTATTATGTCACTGTTATTTGGCATGTATTTTCAGATGTTATCCCTCCTCAAATAACCATACAAGTATAACTATTTTCTCCAACAAGTATTTTTCACAGCAAAAATAGATGTGAAAAACCCATTTTGCTTCTCTGCTGTCTTCTTATCTTCCTTTTATCTAGACATCTTGTTTGTTCTATGGTGATTTCAAATTTCTGGTACCCTAGAAAGGGAAGTAATGTTGCCAAAGATTCTCCTTTTCTTTAGGTTTTCTTCATATTAGCAACATATCTAGGTTTAAAAGGAAGCCACCTTATCTTTGTAGACTCTAAAATATAACTGTCTAGGTGTCATTTATACTTTTCCTCTCCTCCTGATTTAAACAGTTTGATTTCAACCATTCTGACAGAAATTTGAATGCTCAGTTTTTCTGCCATTAAGAATCACATGTGTGTATTGGGATGGAGCATACAAAACTGGGACTTTAGAAAGGATAGACTTAGTATTTCCTTCTCTTTGTACCTCAAGTTGTCTTCTGGTATTGATAATTATATTAAGTAAGAATGATGATGAAGACAATGCAGGCAGCAATAGAGATATTACATGTATGTATGTATGTATGTATGTATGTATGTCTCACTTTCCAGGGGACCTAGTTTTTGAATATTTGCTTTCTACACAAATGTTTGTCATTTTATAAACACCTTTATAAAATATTTCATTCTAGAACTTTCCTCTTTCTTTTAGACTTCTTTGCCTCTATTAGACCTCTTTAATAAAACTGCTCGAGTAATGGCTACGTATATTTTGAGGGTTAATTCTGATTTTCTTCAGTATCAGTTGTTCTTTTCATGATACATTATTTTATTTGCTGACGTTCCTGATTGAGATAGCTTTACTTTCCTTTCTTGCTTGAAACTGAAAAACTGTGTTCAGTCATTGTATGCTTCTTGTTACCCAAGGTTTTCATTTGCCACCTTTCACTAGCTATTGTGGCAGCTTATTCTGAAACCCACTTGAAACTTTTCCTAAGATTTTATGATTTTTTTTCAATTTTGGTTCTCATAATGTGTCTCTTGTTTCCTTCCTCTAGCTCATTTCCTCTTTCTTATATGTTAAGTATGCTGAATCTGATCCTTATATTAATCCTGTATCTGTCTAAATGTCCTCTGAATCAAATTTTGCTGATATTTTTAATTTTCTAAACTTAATCCATATACGGTATTTGAAATGAATAATGTCACTCTTTTACCTGGAGGTGTCCTGGGGAGTGGATTGCACCCTAACTCATTTTCCAATTCCTATTTCTTTAATTATTTATCAAATGTAGATAATGCCCATCTCACTATCCAAGTGACCCTGGGCAGTTTACAGATACAAATGATAAAACCATATAAAGAAATATAAAGAATTAAAACACAGTGAAAAATAAAAGATAAAAATAAAAGAGGTGCAGAGCTAAAAAGTTTAAAAAACAGCAGAGGAGCACCCCCAAGCCACCACCAATCTCAGGGTTGTGTGCCACTCTTTGACCCCCCATTCCAGTTGGCAGAATCAGGTCTTCAGATGCTTCTGGCAGGCCCAAAAATGAGGCCTAACCTCACCTCTGGAGACAGGATATTCCATAGGGTGGGAGCAATGGCAGAGAAGGCTCTTTTCTGAGATCCTGCCAATCAAAATTCTTAACTGATGGGTCTGTAAGATATCCTCTCTGCCTGATTGTGTGGGCAGATTGATGTAACTGGGACAAGACACTTGTCTTGTCTTGAAACATGATCCCACGCCATAATGAAGGGCTTTAAAGGTGATAACCAACACCATGAATTGGACTTGGAAGCAAACCGGCATCCAGTGCAGCTCATGCAGCAGAGGTGTTACTTGCACAATCCTTGGAGGCCCAAGACTCCTCAAGCAGCCACATTCTGCACAGCTGCAGTTTCCAGATACTCTTCAAAGACAGCCTCATGTAGTGCTCATTGCAATAATTCTTAAGGGAGATGACCAGGATATTATGTAGTTAATGTTCCAGTGTAGAGTCTCTATTTATGTTGCTTAAAATCAATATTAATAACGAAAATAATTCTGTTCACAGAACTCTTAGTATTCTGTCTCTTGCATTATTGTATTTGCCCGTTTGAAATCTTCCTGCGATTCCTTGTTTCTTTTGCATTTCTTGTCCATTAGTAGCACTGCATTTCTGGGTGTTGCGTTCAGTACCACTTAAGGTTTGCCACAGCCTGCCTCTTTCACCTTTGCCTTTTGTCATTGTGTTGTGAATACATATCCTTCTGTAATAGTCACGTTCACTGAAAATACATTAATTTCAATTGTTACGATTTATTGGATATAGCTGAACAACTAATTGTTCTTTCCATTCTGTTGCCACACCATTGCCTTTGCTATTTCAGGCCTTCTTACCGTCTCATGCCCTGAATATATCATCTCATTTAAACTGACTTATTCCAGACCATATGAGATCACTCATTCCTTAACGTGCTTCTTTTCTGCATTCAAAATGTTGAGGTATATTCATTCATACATTTCACATTCTGTAATCCTATTGCATGTATCCTTGTAAAATGGGAAATCTCTTTCAATACTGAGACCATTAGTGCACATTTTTCCTTGTGGCTTTGTCCACATCTGCAGATCTACATCTACTGAAGTTTGATGATCTTCCCCACAATTAAGACATGTTTTCCAACATTTTGACCTTGCCACGAGTTCTCACCAGCATTGCTTTCAGCATGGTTCTTCCAGTATTTGAGATAACTGAGCAGTATATTCTAATTAAATTCTTGATTCTTAACTAGATGCTTCCATCCCATCATAATTAAGTACAGCTCTGAGGTCTTGGATTAGAGTTTTCCAATCTTGGCAGCTTCCAAATATATGGACTTCAGTTCCACAAATTCGCAACAGCAGTCATGCTGGCTAGGAAATTCTGGCACTCAAAGTCCATACTTCTGGAAGATACATAGTTATGGGAAACACTATCCTAGATCGTATTTTGGATTAAAGTAAGAATAGGCAATTTCTTCCTAAGTGGAAGGCTTTAAATGTGATCAGTTCAAAATCCCCTAAAACTGGTTAGTAATTATAGCAAATACTGATATTTTCTCAGAATTTCACAGTATGATCCACTGCCTGCCTTTGCTCAGTATAGATTATTGCAAGCCATTATCTGTTTAACAAGAATAGAAAAGGCATAAATGATATAGTCTTACATTTTTGATGGGGAGCCTTCTATAAAGAAGAATACACTATATTGTCCTGGATTCAGTTGAATTTTCCAGAAGCATTCCCGGTCCACTCCTCCAATCACTTGCCACTTCATGTTTCCCTGTGATGTAATGCTAAGTTATTTTTGCCAGCTCTGCATCCCACACACAGGTCTTGGCTAATAACCAAAGATGCATATATTTGTTTAGTATTTTGCTACGAGCACACTGGAAATGTGCTTAGTTTTGGATTGGGGGGGTGTTTAACAATAAAACCCAAGAGATTTCAGCCCTTTTTAGAAAGGAAAAAAAAATCAACATGTGCAGAGCTAAACAATGTCCTTCACTATTGAAATGTAAACTTCTGTAACCTTTTGGAGTATGGTCAGAATAGAGCAGTTTCTAAGTATAATTTACGCAAGAGAACAAGTGATATCATTTCGGACTGACCCAAGAGCATCAACTAAGAAATGGCTTTGTATTTATGTCAAACAGGATTTGAAAGGTTGTTCTTTATTTAGACCTTGATTTCTAATAGTGCAAAGATACAGTCTGTGCATAGATGATAGAAATATTTGTCTGGATTTTTAGGGATATTAATTTTGCATTGATTGTTTGCACCCAAATGACTAGACTGGATGAATCCCTTGATTCATGGGAGAAGGATTATGTCAAGCATCTCTACCTGATTGTGCGGCTCAACCAGGAATGAAAGCCTACTTCTCTAGCCATGTTTCAAAGCTAATCATATAGTCATTACAGGTAGCTTTTAAAGCATTGTTGGGAGAGTTCTAGAGAAAACTCTTCTCTAGGCAAAATTCATGTCCACATTGAGACAAAAGCCAATGAGTAACAAAAAGTTTACCTTTCCCCAATATGCAAGTTCCCAGCTTTAGCCAGCTATGAATCCAGATGAAAAAAAAAAAAAAAAAGTATGCAGGAAAAGTGACATGGGTGTAGATGCTTTATAGCCTCTTTCTTCCTGCTCCCAGGCAGAGCCAGCCTGTCTGCCCTTTCCAGTCATGTGGATTTAGACAGCCCTATACGTCGGCGCTCTCTGCTGGGGCTACTTTCTCCAGGTAAGTATAAGCTGCCTTAGCCAGGACACGTTGCTCTGCTTCTGTTGCAATTCAAGCCATGAACATTTGCAGGATTTAGGGAGAAGGTCTCACGTCCAGATGGCAGCAACAGGGAAGGCGTTCTCTTATTTTAAGCAGGCAGACTTTTCAGACCAAAAATAAGTAAATAATTTGATGACCTTCCAGAGGAGAAGCACAGTTTGGTTGTGGTCAACAATAGTAGGACAGGAGAGAGAGAGAACCCTCACAAGATGTTGCAAAGCCAAAGAACATGTCTCTTATTGTCATGTATCTAGAAATGGAAAAGAAGGAGAGCTGAAAACACTCTGATGAGTTTTTAACATCCAGAGTACTTAAGCTCTCTCAAAAATGCTTCTTGTTGTATTAGGTCTCCACCCTCAGTCCTGTTTTCAGATACTGAAGCTGTGCATAATTATGCAAAGGCTCTTTTCCAGGGACTTCAGTAGAATGACCATACTAGTGATTCTTTTTTATACAGCTCTGAAAGACAACACGAAACAGCATCTTGTTGGCTATCATTAAAATAAAATTGTCTATCTGGTGTAGCTTCAAGAACCAATGGACTTCCTTATAACTTTGTTCAATTAGTAATCTTTTAACAGAAATAGAAATCAGGCAAAGAACCTGATGCATTCAAGCTACCAGGTTCTCTTGCTTATGTGCTGCATCCCACGAGTCCATTTTCACTTTTTCTCAATGCACTTTTGCTCTGCTGAATTACAGAGGAGTTAACACTTTTCTCCTCATTCCACCAATATCTTGGTGGGCCACCTGCTAGTATCAAATACTAGCTTTGCTTCTATGGAAGTGTGTGGCAATTTACAACAGCTGAGGATTGTAATGCAAGTGGTATGCAGACTTCTCATACAAAATTTTTTTTTTAATGGCTTCAGAAGAGCATACAGATTTGCCATTGGCTTTCTTGATTGTCACAAAAGAATTTGATCAATTGGCTGGGATTTGTTCCACTTGCTTGTAAATTTGGGGGAGTTAATTGGAATGACCCCAATGCCAAATTTATTTTCTCTTTATTTCTTCTGAGAAAGTCCAGCTGGAATACCCATTAATCTACAGGGATTGTATGTGCAAGCACCATTCATTGCATGCCTCCTCTGGCTTCTGCTTTGCATTGTCCTAATAAGTCTCTTGATGAAGACATTCTGGGAGTTATAATGGAGAAAGGCACATCATTATTTTTACTATTATAGTATTATTATGCCATTACCTTAATGTCTACTCTGCCTCAGGCACCTGTGTATGTCTAAGTATCTTAATAATTAAGATAAATGAATTACAGACCTCCTAGTTACCTGGTAGTTTCATTCTTTGCCATAGCAGCATTCCCATTAACAGCAGAGAATGAGGCAAGTTTTTCAGACAAGAATGCACACCTTGGCAGATAATGATCAAGCTTCAAGCTATGCCAGTAGATTAATATCAAGCATCATTTCTCTTTGTGCCAACAGAGCTAATGAACAGTTGGTTGTCTCCCATGGGCAAATCTGCTGTCTCAAGCGTTAGTCATGATGTTTAATACATTGACAGCATCTTTCTATAATGCAGAAAGTATTCTTCAGAACTGTTGAAGACTATGCAAATGATTAGCCTATGATCTGTTTTATGAAAATTCCAGTAATGTGGCCCTCACTTTCTACTATCCCATTGTGTTCACAATTACTGAAGAAAGGGAAAGGGCCATTCAATATTTATACAGCACTAAAACCACAGACTCAGATGAAATCACAGGAAGTTAGCCTAAGAAATTCTTGGCAAAGAATTGGTACATAAGCCAAGTCTTAGGTCCGCATCAAAAATGGGCTTAGTCACCCAACAGCCTAGTTTCCTTGGCAAGAACAACTTGCATAAAATAATTATTGTAAAGAACCGAAGCCAGAAAATCAGCATAAAATTTTCCCCACCCCTTTTTTATTTTTCTTAGAACTTAAACCTGAGGTACATGTAGGGAACTGTTAAATGCAGCTCTTTAATCAAACCCCAAATTAAGTCTTACAGTCTTTATTTAACTACAGGCACCATAAGAAGAAAATACCAAGTTGGAGTTGGCACTGTCTGACTCAGCATTGCCATAAGCTTTACCAAGAGCTGTGTCAAAGCATTCTTGCGTGCTCTCCATCCAGGCACAATGCTTCCCTTACAGAATTTCAGGGATAACCAAAGATGATGGCAGTGGATGGGAGGCTGTCATCTCCACATGTAACATTTGTGCTAGTTTGCTCCAACAGGGAATGTAAGGAAAACAACATACCTAGAGAGTATCCCCTAGTGAGCCAGATCCCTTGTCTCACAATTGTTGAAACCCAAATTCTGTTCAAGTGCAGATTAGCCCTTGGCTGCAATTGCAGTATTTCTCAGTCTAATTCAGAATACAGCAGCTGAGTGCCCAAGCACCCATTATGTCGCAGTTCCAGAAGACTTTAGAAACCCAGGCTTCAGTTTCTATTGTGGTGTCTCTCTGGAAATGTCGACTTATATGGAAGTCAGCAAACTTCGCTGTTAAACCAATATCCACACACAGTTCTGTGAAACAGTTACTCTCTGTATTTAGAAATAAGTCCAACTACCATAAAAATCCCATTCTAATGTAATGCATTAGAAGTCCAGGCAGTAAGAAATCTGTGTTATATTGCAGGATTACGCATCCTTTGATGCTTAGCTCTGGAATGCATGCGACAGGCCTCCCACACCCAGGCATCACATCTCCATCTGGGAAACAAGAAATGGATCATTACGACCGAAGCATGTAAGTAGCCAAGAACTGGGAGGAAGACTTATAGGTACTGTGCCATTTATTTATATATTGCATTTCTACGCTGCTGAATTTTCCAGACTGACAGCAATAAGTGAAAGGCACAATAAACTTTCCACAAGAAAATAAAAGTAGTACCAGGCACAACAAAGACAGAACAATGATTACAGGTAGTTTTCAAATTTGCAACCAATTTTTCAGTGACCGTTTGAAGTTACGGTGGTGCTGAACGTACGGTATTTATGAATGGTCCCTGAAGTTATGGACTTTGTAGAGCCTCTGCAGTCACATTTGGAAGCCTGGCCACATTTATGATTGCAGGGGCACTTTCCTCCACTTGCTTATGTTCCTTTCCTTCATCTTCGCCTTTTGGTTGCCCTACATAGCAGCACTCAACAGTGGGGACAATACAGGGGCTGAAGTAGAGGCCTAAGGCCTTCAGCAATTTCAGTCAGCTGTCCCCAGTCCCAGCTTCTACTTCAGTTCAAGCCCACAACCAGTGCTACAGCACAAAGCTCCTGCCACCCCACACTCCATAGGCCCTGCCATGCCCAGCTGACCGTCATCACCTTTCTCTTGCTGCTGAAAAGGTGTGCCCAGCCTGGCCTATGTGAGGCAGCTTTTAGCCCTGCTAGGCCTTCTTCCAGAGTTTGCTTGCATTATCTTTCAAATAGGGCAAGCATCAAATTCTGATGCTTCAGAACCTCTCAGAAGCTTTCCAAAGGCTTTCTGAAGCATCACAAGAACAGTGTAAGTGATTTGGAGAAGAGGCATGGTGGTGCAGTGGTTAAAAGGCAGCACTGCAGGCTAACTCGCTTCTCATTGCCAGCAGTTTGATCCTGATGGGCTCAAGGTTGACTCAGCCTTCCATCCTCCCGAGGTCGGTAAAATGAGGACCCAGATTATTGGGGGCAATATGCAACTCTATAAACCGCTTAGAGAGGGCTGTAAAGCACTATAAAGCGGCATATAAGTCTAAGTGCTATTGCTAAGTGCTATTCTCATGAATTTTAGATGGCCATAAAAGCCTTTTAAAACATCATGGGAACCGTGCATGTTATTTGGAGAGCGGCACAAGTGGCCTCAGGAAGAAGGCTAGCCATTGTCAGTGGCTACCTTGCGAAGAGCCAGGCTGGGTGCAACTAGCTAGCAGCAGGAGGAAGGTGGCAAAGGTCAGCTGAGAGCAGCCTGGCCAATGAGTGCAGGGTGGCAAGACTGACAGAGGTGGCAGAATGCAAGATGGCATTCTAAAGGCAAAGATGGGGGAGTGAGATTGAGTGGTGGTGGGGAGTTAAAGAGGAGGCAGTCTCTTACTTAACTGAGGCTCAGGAGTGGCTTGGATTGGTTGTGTCCTCACCTAACAACTGGTGGGGTTCAGTTAATAGTGACATTGGGGACTGCTGGGATTGCTGCACTAAATGATGCAGTCACATTCTACCCCAATTACCATTGTAACTCAAGGACTATCTACAAATAACAACAATAACAACAACAATAAAAATATCCAAGTAGTGAGAATAAAGAGTTAGTCCATGAAGGCTCTCCAGAACAGTTCAATCTCTGGAAGGCTGTCACAGAAGAAGGCAGCCATGATAGAAATGCACTGCTTCCTGACCTCAGCCACCCTCACTTCACAAAAACAGGTTATCATTCTCCAAGGGGGACTTCCTCAGATAGGACAAATCTGGAATCTAGGTGAACCTTGCATGCTCCCTACTATGTTCCATCTCTTGGAAGAGCAGCTGCTGCTTCTCATTTGCAAAGCCAGTGTCCACAAGCCTCATTTTCAGAGTTACAGATTGGAAGACTGCACTCTGTTTGTTATTCATCAGACATAATCTTTGTCAGGCACACATCTGTTGTAGCAGTTCAAAAAGAACATCTTCAGTCCTACCAGGCAAAGTAATAAACATGATGGTTCCTACATGGATATTTCATATATCAGAGTAACAGACCAAATTAACTGAACTGGATGAAAAGGATATTTTGGATCATAGAGACCAAAATTATATCTCCAGTGATAACGCCTTGGAGTTGGCTACCATTAGAAAAGATATTTTTCTCTTTCAACCTATAATCTTTGGTTCATCAGTTTTACTACTCAGTTGACAAGTCCTTGGTTTTTTTAATTGTTTTCTAAGAGACTGAAGTACTGAGGTAAGACCCTGTATTATCAATGGTTTCATTTCTCTTTCGTATAAGGAAATCACAATCAGAACCAAAGAGAGAAAAGGAAGCTAAAAAGCCTACCATCAAGAAGCCTTTGAATGCTTTTATGTTGTACATGAAAGAAATGCGGGCAAAGGTCATTGCTGAATGCACCTTGAAGGAAAGCGCCGCGATCAACCAAATTTTAGGAAGACGGGTAAGAGCACAAGTGATTTGTCTTGTTTTGGTTAATATATAGGCTTTAGGAAAGGGTCATGAGGAATGAGTTGTTTGGTTTTTCAGAAGTTTTGGATTTTAGTGGTAAACTTTTATTTTTAGCCAAGATTGAGAATGGATTGAGAAAGAGGCTGGAGAAAGGCTTTGAAAATTATTCTCCTGTATAGATGAGTAGTCTGTCTGTAAAATGATGTCCAATTCGCAGTATACCAATGCACTTTTCCAGAGCTGAGATCTCCATGGTTTTGCTGCACCTTCTCCATAGTTAGACCTGCATCTGTTTTAGTGCACTTGGATGAGCTTTGAAAATGTATAATACAACTTCTGCACTGCTGCAGAAAAGACAGTTTAAGAAAATACAACAAACCCCCCCCCCATTTTTCCAATTTGTTTTAGGAAGATGGCATATAAGTCCCTGCATTAGCAGATTACGAATACTTTTCGTTATCTGGGACTTTCAAAACATGTCAGGAAAACTCAGATTGATTATTTGTAGATCACTTTTCACATCTAAAATATTTTTCCCTCCAAAAGTACAGATCCACACAAGACTGTAAGGTAAGTGCCCACTATCATCATTTTGGAGAGGGGATGTAACGTGAGAAATGACCTCCCAAAGGCTGCTCAACTGATTTATTATAGCTGAGGAAGCTTTTTCATTTTGGATTTCAAAGACAAACGATCTCTGTAATTTCCTTTTTTTAGAAATCATGTAATTTACTTTTTCTCATCTGGGCATAAACTTGTTAGGTACATAACTTCCAATTTTATCCCAAATTCTGATCTTGATTCTAAATAGTAAAAACTATTTTTACTATATATTTTTGTTTATTGCATTAAAAAAAAGTCAAAACAATGTGTTGGTGAATTCGGTCAGAATCTTCTATTCCCAAATTTGGGGTTTTTTGAACAATGTGCAAGGATTCCATTTATTTATAGAATAAGAGATTGAATTATATTTATTTAATAAACTTTTGCTATTGCTTCCCGCACACAGAAGCTCAGTTTCCATAAAAACTGATAAGTACAGGCATGAGTACAGTGATTGTATTAGTAATTAGTGAATTGGGGATTTGAGAAACCCAAGAAATTCTAAAATAAAATTGCTATTTCTGCATCTTTTTTTAAATGTTCTGGTACAGAAAACATCTAGGTGGAAGGTGGAAATGGAGCATTACCTTATCACAGGGGAAGGTGGAAATGGAGCATTACCTTATCACAGGGGTCCTCAACCTTGGCAACTTTAAGACTTGTGGACTTCAATTCCCAGAATAATTGAAGTCCACAAGTCTTAAAGTTGCCAAGGTTGAGAACCCCTGCCTTATCACAAAAGTTGGAACTGTAATTGTTTTTGCTGAAATGCAGTTCCCAGAATCTTTCCTACTGGCCATTCTTCAGATTTGCAGCTGTAAGGTGCAGCTATGTAAATCGATATAATTGATAAACAAATGTCTAGAAGTTGTAGTTCAGCAGCATCTGCAAGGTCACAAATTCCTCATTCTGCTCTGTTATGTGGAATATTCTTCTTTCATGTGTTTACCAAGATCCGATGTATGCAACAGATTGTTTCCAAACACCATGTGTAAAATTAAGGGCTGAATCTTTATTAATATGTTGACCTTCCTTCTGCCCAACTTGCATTTATGCAATGAATTAGATGTTAAGAGAATTAAGATTTCTAGAAATATTTTAGATCTTGCTTAAGAATGTGGCTGGTTGCTGCTGATGGGAGCTGTAGTCTACCGATACCTGGAAGGCAACAGGACTCTTTTCTGATCAAGCTGTGAGACCATGTAAGCTTCTTAGGAGTTCATGGTTTTCTATGGTTCCTTTTCAGTGGCACGCATTGTCACGGGAGGAGCAAGCCAAGTATTATGAACTGGCCCGCAAGGAAAGGCAGCTTCACATGCAACTCTATCCTGGCTGGTCTGCAAGAGATAACTATGTGAGTATTTGGGATCTGTGGTGGTGGCAGAGTTTGTGTAGCACACTAGCTACTTTTGCTTGCTAAATAACTTCAGGCTTTCTTATCTTTGCCACTAATGGCTTTCACTTATCTGTCTTAGTAGCTTGCAGGTGATGTCAACCCAGTGGGAGACTAGGCTGAAGGTTGGTTTCCAAAGCTTTAGAGTTATCTGAATCATGTGCAGTAAAGGTCACATGCAACTGGTAGAGGTGGTAGAAGAAGGTCATCCAATATTGATGGCAAGAGTATTTTATTTTGCATTTTACTCTGAAAACATTATGAGCGTTAACATTGAAAAGAACTTTTCTAGGTTCGATGGGATTACCTTTTCTGCTGCCATGCCATCACTTTCTCACAATATATTACAAGTCATAATTCACACATACACAAGCTTCTAGTTTCAAATAGATCCTTTGCAGGGAGCGGAGGGGGATTAGGAGGGAAGAAAAGAATTGACAACAAAATGTGTGCTCAAGAATTAATGGCACCACTATCCAGGTACTGGGAGCATGAGAAAAGGTTCTTCCACTGAGTTTAGGATGTGAATTCAATAGGTTATTATACGACAGAACACTGAGAGTAGATTAAACTCTGCCCTTCAGCCATTGGTTTCAGCAGGATCTTATAACATTGACTTCAGTACAACTCAGAAAGATGCCACAAGAATGGACGGTTGTGTTCGTCCACGATTGCTCTGTTTGGCTGACAGACTGACATATTGGAAAAGAGGTATTCTAAAATATGTTGAGTGGTTTACAGTTGGGGGGTTTATATACAGTATCTATGCTTTTTCATAGGTTTCTATTTTGCACACTTTGTTTTCTTTCCTTATTTTGGTTTGCTGTTTATTTATTTTGCCAATATATGTGACAGTTGCTGAACCTTATCTTCCTCTTTCCTCCCCCTTCATTTTCTCAGAGCGATATTTGGGGCCTATTCTCTTAACCTGATTCCTGCTGGGATCTCTTAATTTCAACTTTCAATATTTGTTTTCTCTTCGAAATAGCAGACCTGTAAGCATTGTTTTCTTTGCATACTTTTTGCATTCCTTAGCATAACTGTCCTCTTTTTTATACAGCATTTTGACATTGGTTGTAATTATTTCTGACTGGGTACCTCAGATTATCTAAGGCAGAGCTATTACTCCATCTCTACACATCCTTCATTTTGTTTCATTTTTATATCCTCCATTCTATCCTCAGACAAAATAAAACATAAAGATGCTTTTCTTTCTCATATTTATACAAGTTGCTATTTCCAACTTTTGAATATTGATCAAAAAATTGATATTTACTTTCTCCTTACCCTCCTTGATTCTTGCCTTCCCCTTGGCATTTACTTCTTTCATTCTGTCTCTATCCTCTTTTTTTTTTTTTTACTCTTCTTACTTACTTTTTTTACCAACACGGCTTTATTTTCTATATGTTATTTGTTTTATAGTATATATTCCTTTCCCTGAACTTTCTTCTTTAATTAATCTATATACTTTTAAAAAACCTTCAGATTTTGACTACTCATTTATCTTCTCCATTTGCCACCTTGTAACTTCTACTCGTTAAGAACTTTATTTTATCCTTTGCATTGACTTCCACTTACTTTATTTTATATTTTATGCCTCTGCCCATAATTCATGGTTCTATCAAAATCTGCATCTCCCCATCCTTACCTTGGTATACCCAGTGCTCAAAAATGCATTTCTTTCCCTGACCTTTGATTTCTACTTTTTTTTCTTTTCCATTCTCCATCTTTTCTCTGTCCTTTTTTGTTGTTGTTGAGCATGATGCTTTATGAGTAGGGGGCCACAAAACATTCTGCTATCAAATGTTCCAATCTCAAAACAGGTTATCTTTTTCCAAACGCTGCTAAGTTCACCATATGACATTCCAAGTATTCAGGAAGTATCCAACCTTGAAATGGGCTGTCCCCAAAAGTGATCTCAATTATCCGTAGCCCATTTTCAGATTAGAAAGAATCTGAAATCCTTGAAGCCCCCTATTTCACACCTAAAACATTCCATTCCAAAATGTTTTGGAAATGTGTCTTTATAAACAATCAAAATAAATTGTATCGTTATAGCTGGTCACACAATTAGGCTGGATTTGGCATTTTTGTCCACCTATTGAGTCCTTCTCAAGGACCTGGGATAGGCAGATGTTCTTGTTTAACAACATTAAAGGTATTGTTACAACTTGTAACAATATCTTTAAGCTCTTCCAAGTAAAGCTGTCCTTTGCAATTTACTGATGGTAACTTTGTCAGTGCTGATGGTGTTCAAGTGATGTTTCAGATATTTGGGAATTGGGCCTGAGGTGCCTATTATTATTGGTACTATCTTTGCTTTCATTTGCCACAGCCTTGCAACTTCTTTTTGCAGATCTTTGTGATTTTTCTCTAGTTCTTTCTCTTCTATTCTCTGCTTCCAGGTGTTATATTATTATTATTAGTAGTAGTAGTAGTAGTAGTAGTAGTAGTAGTAGTAGTAGTAGTAGTAGTATACTATCCAGCCTTTTTTTTTTTTTTGTCTTTCCTATCAATTGTTTAGTCTGGAGTGTTGTGTGACAGATGCTTGTCTATTTAAATTCTTAAGTTCCAGGGCACTTTAGCTTCTTCATTTTCTATTAATTTGCCTGTTTTGTTGTCCCATCTGTTCTTCTTTGCAGCCAAGTGGTATTTTTTGCAGATATTCCAATGCACCATTGTTGCTACTTTGTCATGTCATTGTTTCTGGTCAGTGTACGCAATCTTCTTGAAGCAGTCAATTAGATGGTCCACTGTTTCTTCAGCTTCTTTGCAGAGACAGCATTTGTTCTCTATTTCTGTCTTCTCAATTCTGGCTTTACATGCATTTGTTCTTAAAGTGAGGTCTTATACAGCCAGAATTAGACCCCGTGTCTCTTTCGTCAACTTTCCTGCTCTTAGCCATGTTGTTATCTGCTTTGCCTGCTACTATTTTTGTGTCCTGGCCATGTAATACTTTACCTTGCTGTGTCTCTCTTCTATTTTTCATTTGGTTTTTCTTGTAGGCCAGTTTGGTGTCTTTGGTATTTAGTAAGCCTTCATGATATACTAGCTTTAGTGCCTCTTCTTTACTGTCTTTCCAATATTCTTCCAATGCCCTTTTTCACTTTTTCAACTGTCTGTGTCCTTGCAACATTCTATGCCCATCTATGCTCCTTGGTAAGTAGACAGCCATGGAATGTTGCAAGGACACCAGACTGTTGAAAAAGAGAAAAGGGGCATTTGAAGACTATCTGAAGGACAGAGAAAAAGATATTATTCAGTGCTAAATGGGATTGGACATGAAAATGCTAAATTTCTCCTGATAGGATTGCCCCGAGAATATTTAAACTATGTAAGTGACAATAAAAGCTAGATCCTTTTTTGGAGTTAAGCCTGACTAAGATACTTAGTTCTTGGGGGGGGGGGAATAAACAATTGCTTTAAGGTGGATCTCCACACAATATAATCCCTTTCCTTGAAATTGTGTAAGGGTTTAATTTCATTTTTTTAACTTCTCTTTATTCATTAATTTATTGCTGTCATCAAGAAACAGTTTATTTCTTTCTCATGCTGACAGTATAATATTGGTTATAAAACAAACAGGCAATAAGAATATTTTTTAAAAAAAATTTACATGAGTTTGAATTAGATTGTGCCCATCATAAATAAGATCATTGAAAATTACAGTGGAGAAAAGGAGAAAGGCTTTGGCAGTGTTCTCAAAGTAAATAATAATCTCAAAGAAATTGATGTTTCCTTTATAATTATTGGTATAAATGAACATGTTGGATCTTTCCCTCTCAACAACATGCTTTACCTTATTACTCTTGTGTGTGAAAATTATAACTGCATTCAGGCAGTTTAATACTGCTAGATCTAAACTGTTCTTAGTTCAGAGAAATTGCTGCAGCCTTTCATGCAGATAGTCCTTTGTTAACAATCACAACTGGGACAGGCAACCATCATTAAGCAATGCAGCTATTAAGCAAGAAATCACATGACCATAACAGACTTACGACTTCACTATGTCATGGTTGTTAAGTGAATCACAACCGATCATTAAGCAAGACACCAGACAAACACCATTTGTGATTTTACTGCCATTGATTCTACTTGTCAGAAGCTGACTGTAAAGTGTACAGTTGGTGATCATATGATCACGGGGACACTGCAATGGTCATAAGTTCAAAGGCCAGTTGTAAATTTACTTTTTCAGTGCTGTTGCACTGTCAAACAATTGCTGAACAGGGCACTTGTTATATAAGAATACTGTACTTTTCTTTATGCAGGTCTACAGAAGATCTAGAACTAGTTCACGGGTAGGCAACCTTGGCTCTTTTATGACTCATGGACTTCAACTCCCCGAATTCCTGAGCCAGCATGGCTCAGGAATTCAGGGAGTTGAAGTCCACGAGTCATAAAAGAGCCAAGGTTGCCTACCCTGAACTAGGTTAACAATTTACATTGCATTTGAGGATGAGCACTTCAGGAAAAAAAATATTCCTCAGAAACCTGGGTACATCTTGTGAATAGTGAAAAATGGATGGAAAAGAGACAACAGAAAGAAGATTCAAATAGCTGGATATATCTGCACTTGACCTCATCTTGAAATGTAACAAAGAAAAAAAAAAGACTATTCAGATATAGATAAGCTACACCAGGCTTCTTTAAATTTGATGGTGCCTTCCCTGATGCTTACCTCAGCAGATTGCAACACATGACTTTGACCTCAGAAGTATGGTCAGCTCTGAATAGTTCTTGGAAGAGTTCCAATAACGAATTCCAGAGTTGTTGACTAGGCTGTGAGTTTTTTAAAAAAAACAAAACTGAAAACAGACACATTTCCATAGCACTGCTTAGAACAGGGGTGTCAAACTGCCGGCCCACGGGCCGAATGTGTCACGTGGAAGCCATGCCCACCCCATTGCCGGCAATGGCAAAACTGGCCAGATATGTTGCGTGACGTCACATGACATCGCGAGTTTGACATACCTGGCTTAGAGGATTGCATAGATGCAGTTAACTGGTGGCAAGGTCAGTTTAGGGATGTCTTTTTTTATTTACCTACATATTTATTCCTTCCAGAAAGGATTTTATAAAAGAAACTGAACCTTGGTATTTTGTCTGAATGAATCAGCATCAACAAACACTCTAAAGGTCTCAGAAGTAAAATGGAAAGCCCAGAAGATAAGTTCCATAACGTTGGCCTGTGATTTTATGGCTAAATGTAAAAGAAGGATTCTGCATATTATTTCCTCCAGTTCTTTTGGGATCTTTCCTTTACATTTTCCCTCACTTCTCTATTTACTAATTTGCTTAAAGAATCCACTTTTTCCTCAGAGGAAAAGTCAATCCTTGGGCTTTGGTATGACAGGCATACAATGCAATCACAGGAAAAGTATGCAAATGTAGGCAGGCAAATGTCCATTTTACATCTCAAATAATTTCCTAATGTCATGTCCAAATTATTAGGGTCAGTTAAGTATTGCAGGACAGACCAATAGTGGTGTTGTGGGCAATATATCAGACTGATGGGAGAACCTAGGTTTACATGTAATTATGGTTACTAGATGAATTTGATAGCTGGAATGAATCCAGAATGTTTATTCTCTGGCTGGAATTAATGGTGATCTTTGTCTAATTGTCTATCAATGCTATCAGCCAATCATAACAGGACTGTGGCTGGCAGGTGGCTTTTTACTGGCTAATGTTGCTCAGAAGGGAAGAGTAACAAAGCCAATGGGCTTAACCAAAGGTTGGTTTAACACCACTTGCATATGTAGAATTAAGGTACTATCTTGAGGTGGACCATAGATTTTATGCAGGGACTGATTTCTGCTTGCTCACATATGAGTGGAAGGCTAACTCTAGAGCCCTGGAAAAATGTCTTCACTCACTTGAAATTTTCCAGTTGGGCAATTATGTATTTGCCGGATATTGTTTTTTAAAACTTCTATGAGAACTTGAAATAGCATAAATAAGTAGTATATGGGGAAGGGCTATTAAATTATGTCCTTATCTGACTTTGTTATTAAAATATCTATTTAAGAGGTGCTTCAACTGCATTTTCAGCTTTTGGACCAAACAGCTAGCAGGGAGCTTGCTGTTTGGAAAGCAAAACAATACACACTTGTGTGCATAGTGTTTTACTCAGAATCTCTCATGCCTGCTCTTCATTTTAAAAACCTTTGAAAAGGCCAATAACTGTTAAATTAACTTATATACATATCTATTTATCAGCACATTCCACCAAGACAGAAGTTGATTTGTCTTTCTCTATGATCTAAAACACTTTAACTTAACTTTATTTAATCTGGTGTTTCAGATGAAACCAACTTGGACAACTTCCCAAATTTGACTGATTTGCCAAATTTCAAAAGCCAAATCCACCTCTTCCAGAGGGCATCCACTTTGAAAGATTAGCAATACCCAAGGCACTTAGACTTATATACCCCCTTACAGCCCTCTCTAAGCGGTTTACAGAGTCAGTATATTGCCCCCAACAATCTGGGTCCTCAGAAGGATGGAAGGCTGAGTCAACCTTGAGCCTGTAGCTAAAATCCTGAGAGTGAGCAGTGAGTTAACCTGCAGTACTGCATTCTAATCACTGTGTCACCACGGTTCAGGCAGACAGACTTCTGTCTCTATAGTATGGATTCAGAATAATGTGTGGATTGACCATGCCAGTCATGTTCTTAATGCAACTGTGCTTATTAACATGACCAGCTGACTTAGAATCATATATGTCTTTCACTCTTCAGTCAGAAATGTTATGATAGAGTTATAGTTATAGTTCTTTTTTACAACATCATTTTTACAACTATCAACAGGAAGGAATAATGGTTATTAAAAGTGGTAACTCTTAGAAAATGTCCTGTCATTTCCTTGAACCGTTTCCCTGGCAAACGGCAAACTTCATTAGTTGATGGATTCAATCAACATATGTTTGTTTCAATTGTTGAAGTCCTAAAATACCAACTACTACTACTACACTTTGTCTTCCTATTGGGCAGTTTCTTCCTATTTATCATTTAGAGCATCATGCTCTATCTCACATTCATTTTTATCTCTCTGAACATCCATAGTCAGAATTTGAAGGACCTGAATATTGTTTCTGACTTCTAGCAGAGACTATATCTTCATTTCTTGCTCTGGGTTTTTACTTTCATCCAGTGCATTTGATAGTGCTTTTTCCTCTGTCCACTTTCACTCTCTCTCTCTTTTTTCTTTACTATAGAGCTTCTTTCTTAAAGGGTGGCAATTTGAACTCCAATTCCATTACTTTTTTTGTCAAAGCTTTGCTGCAAATGTATTCCAGACTGTTTTCAGAAAGAAAAACGAATACCACAAACATTGAAGGTCACAATTGCAAACTCGTTTGTTGATCTTCCAGTTATCTTCATAAAGCACCTCAAGTAGAAAGGTTTTTATTTCTTCTTGTTGTTCCTTAGCTTCTCACATAAATCAAGTACAATTGACTTAGAGGTAAATTGGTCAGAGTCTCCGACAAGATTCTCCAGGCAAACTAACTTACTAATCTTGTACAACCTGCCATATTCTATTAAAAATGTTTCTGTCGATTTTTAAAGTTGACTGATTGCTATCATTTAAAAAAAATCAAAGCATTATTAAATTACCCCAAAATAATCAGGATTTTTTGTGGAAAGAAGGGAAGGAATAACTAATAGGAAGGCATTAGTATAATAAATACATTTTACAGGTTAATTTTATTATTTTGAAAAGTGGTGGACAATAGAAGCATTGGGCAGGAGAATATTTGGGGGGGGGGAGGAAAATACAACCCAATAGATATATTATTTATCTGAATGTAACAAGAAGCAACAAGAAAGGATCTTTCTCTTACAACTTTATGCAGTAGAAGGACATGGCTTCAGTATTTTCTGCACTGGGGGGGGGGGAAGCAAAAACAGTCTGTATCCTGAGTTTTAAGAAAACAGAAATTACTCTCTCATAGTAATTGTTTTATGTTCTCATCTACTGAACATAATTTTAGACCTCAGATCTGTGCCCATCCACATGGTATCAAACCTCAGCACAGACTTAGTAAAACTGACTTCTAAATAAATATTAGATGCTAATGCCATTTAAGAATATTCATTAATAAATACATGTAGTGAAGAAGAAAAAAGTACAACTCATCCACTGACTTGACAAAGATGTAACTTTTCATCTTAAGCCCAAAGTTAAATTGTGAAGAAAGCGTTTGAAACTTTTTCTGGGACTACTTTAGTTTCGGCTCCATGTTCAAAGTAAAATTAGATTAAATAAAAGGTTCAGATGAAAGAAAACAAACAAAATCTTCACAATTATCTAATTCTACCTGCTATTCTTTAACCAAATAAGACTTCGTGTTCAGCATTCATATGCTGAATAAAATAAATGTCGGTGACAATAAGTATGAGTCTTGCTCCTTCAAAGTTCATTTGTTACTATATTACTCAAAGTAAGTATGGTTTCAAGATATATTTCCAACAGAAAGGGAAATGATTTGCTTTAGTAAACAACAGTAATAGTGAATTCAGTCTTTGCCTGGGTTGTGGTAATGGTGTCCTGCATACTTCCTGATGTATTCATATGCTTATTTTTTTTCCCTACTCACCATAGCTGCTCTTTTAACCCTTTACCCCTTGCTCTTCAGTCTTCTTCAGGCTCTCCATCCCGTGATCACATACAGTTTAATTCAGGGCCCCTGGAATTCAGCAGCACTTCCTGGCCAGCTTCTGCGGCAAGGGTAAGCGAATTCTGCAGCAAATGTCATTCTGCATTATGGCAGTGAGAGTCTGGAACCATCTGCCACTCATGCATCCACCTAACCCAGCGTTGGCTGCAGAATTCCAGGAGCCCTGAGCTTTTCCATGGCCATAGAATTGCTCATTGGCTGTGGAATTTCTTAATTGGGAGGGAACAATCAATACGCCACATACTGTATGATTTGTCAGGTGGCTAACTTATGTATCAGTGGAAGTAGGTGGACACTCCATGCCAGCACTTTTGTTGTTTGTGAGATTAATATATCAATTATAATGTTTAATCAAAACTCTGGAATCACAGCACATCTCTACTTCTCCATTTATACCCTTTTCTATATTGTTCTGAGAGGATATAAAAAGAAGGTCGCCATTTTGAATCCCCCGGGTCCAGAAATATATTGCTGTAAAACATCTTCTGCATCATATGTCTTGGGAGGGTAACTTAGGGAAAATGTGTAAGTTTATAAGTTGGACATCAGGCAGCAGAAACAATGTACCTGTAACCAGTTTTTTCATATTGGTTTTACATTTCATTGGACATGATTGAAGCGGGAAGTGAAAACCCAGAAATAAGAAAAAAAAATCATATTCAATTTTCTAAGTGGCAAATACCTTATTGCAGATACATACGTAAATATGCACAGAATGCAGCAAGTAAGTAATGGATTGTTACACTGAAGAGGAAATGATTGTTTCTTTGAGGTTCAATTGCATCTTTAATACCATAAGAACTTCTCTTCTTGGCCAGATCAAGGAACATTTAGTCTAGCATGCTGTTCTAGAGCAACAGGATGGATGCTTACAAGACGCCTACAACCAGGAAGAGTAACCTCTATATTGGCTACACCAATGTGAATGATAAACACAGATAACTCCTAACTGTAGTCCCTAGCAGGGATTATCAGTGTATATCATTGATATTGATTAGTGGTTAAGCCTAGAAACCAGGAGGCTATGAGTGTTAGTCCTGCCTTAGGCAAAAAGCTATCTAGGTGCCCTTGGCCATCTCTCAGCCCTGGGAGGCAGACAATTGCAAACCATTTCCAAGAAATCTTGCCAAGAAAACTGTAGGGCCTTGTCTAGGCAGTTGCTAAGATCAACACTGACTCCAAGGCACCCCAGAAATACATACGAGCAAGTAAGCTGAATATCCCAAACATCAGTATTTACATATTAATGACTAATGGTGGTAGCTGGTGCATTTTAATTATCTTTTCTTTTATACAGAACTTCTTCTCTTCCTATCCCACCTTCATGTATGTAATTGCCAATTTCTATAGCTTGCTGCCTCAACAAGACAGAAAACCATAACATTAAATCTGAAACATCAGCACCACGGTTATCACTTTTATAATCCAAACAGCCTATAAACAGAACAGTAGCAAAGTAAAAATTTTATGACAAGTTTTAGTTCTGTGCTTTTCCTTTGAGAAAGTATTTTTTATACTCTCACTGACAGATGATGCCCTCTTGTGGAAATAATGTTCTTGACATCTAAAAGCATGGTTTTGAATTTTTCATTGGCTACCTAGTGATAGGACTAGAATAGGAAAACAGTGCTGAAAAGAAATGAGACAGCCTTGGTATGGTCCACTAGCCTCTCTTAACTCTCTCTTAACTATTCCTGCCATATGAAATCTTCAAATTTTTATAAGTCCAGAACTACACACCAAAGCTTCATACTTTTTAAAGTGGTCTGCCACTGGTTTTCCACTGAAAAACTTTGGCTTGAATGGTATAATTTGCAAGATTCGGATTTTGGGAAGATGGCTTCTTCTCGCCTTAATGCATTCCCTGCTCCTGGTCCTTCCTGCCAACATCCTGGATTGACTATCTCCTCATCCATGCTACTAGGTAGACTCTCCAGTGTTGAACATTTGGAATGCAGGGGGAAAGGGAAAAAAATGCTTGTAAAATGCATTGATGGGAACTATTTTTCTCTATTCTCTCCTGACTGGCAGAGAAGTAGCAGCTGAACTTTAATGAAATGTCTGATCAGATTTTATTTGAATGAAATGCAATCTGCAAGGCACTTAGGGAGCAGATCAAAACTCCCTGTGGGATAATAGTTGCCATCTTCATGTGCCAGGATGTTTGACTCAGGCCTCTAAAAGGAAACACACCCACATCCCACCACCATACACTTTTTACATATGGCACCTAGGAATACTTCCACCTTCTTTCCCTGAGAGTATAAATTTTTCAGTGTTGCAAAGAAAGCCCCATTTTTAGGCCTTGACTTGCCTTATGATTTGTAAGCACAAGGGCTTTTCCAATTCAAGATTTGCATTAAGAATGTCTGTCTGTATTTTGATTGTGTTTCCATTGCACAGCTGAACTGTAGTTTTGTGTCACAGTATAAGCAGGGAGTTTTCCAGTTAGCAACAACCACCAACTTTGTTTTAATTGTGGGGTTTGGAAGTTTTGCAGTAACTTGGCCTCCTGATGCAAGCAAAATCAGTACTGTATGGGCAGAAGTGTGGGGAAAACACAGTCTGGTTTGATTTTGCCTGCTTTCATCAGGGAAGTGGGTTTTTTGTGTCTAGTTAATGACAAACATATTTAAATGTTGTTTGAACTTAAAATGGAACAGTCTTTGTTTTGCCCAAAATTGCAGTTGCATCTCTGGCAGTTAAACAAAGGCTAAACATATTTACTCCAGAGTAAGTTATACTCAGTGGGAGCTTGTTCTTAGCAAAATATCCTTTGGACTGGGCAACCCAAACCTGCAAGTGTTGTATGTCTTTTAAGCTGCTGGTGGTTACAGATTTTATACTCAAGAGAATGGAGGTTAATGTAATTAAGACATTAGTTATGTTACCATGATACATATCAAAACACAAACAGGCCCTAGCTATAGGGCAGATGTTTTCATTTGTAAGCTGATTTGAAATAGTTTTGATTCTAAAGTTGAATATTTAAATTTTGAATTATACTATTTTATTTTGTTATGCTCGACTACAAACTGAAACAAATTTCTTTCCATCCCATTACCTTCCCCATTTTGCTCCTGGATTATTTTAAAAGACTTTTTTTCAGCAGATAAAAGTATTCTGTTTCACTGGGGAAGAAATTGTGCACCTGATGCAAATCAGCAGTGCCTCAGCATGCCTGCAAATGCAATCCTTTAGTTAGCCAGGCACAGTCATCTTCTGCATTTAATACCAGCTATTTTTCTCCATCCCTGCTGGAAGAAAACTGTTCAGTTTCAGAGTACCTCAAAAGTTGTGCATTTTTCTCTACCCAAATCAGGTGCAATGTGCCAGTTTATGCATTAGGCTTTAGCAGATTTGACAATGGAAGTCTGTTAATCCTTCAAAAATCATGAAGGTGACAAGTTCAAATTGATCTCATTGAAATACCAGCTATGATCTTAATATACAATGACTTTACTAGCAACTATGAGCTGCCAATAAAGAGAATATTGTGTGTCATCAAGAGATATGGACTACAAGCAGTCCGCGACTTACAACAGTTCCTTTAGTGACCGTTCAAAGTTACAATGGCACTGAAAAACGTGACTTATGACCATTTTTCAAAGTTACAACCTTTGCAGCATCCCCATGATCATGTGATTAAAATTCAGATGCTTGGCAACTGCTTCATATTGCTGTGTCCCAAGGTCATGTGATCACCTTTCACCACTTCTCACAAGCAAAGCCAATGGAGAAGCCATATTCGTTTAACAGCCGGGTTACTAACGTATCCACTGCAATGATTCACTTAACAACTGTGGCAAGAAAAGTCATAAAATGAGGCAAAACTCACTTAACAAATGTCTTACTTAACAACATAAATTTGGGGTTCAGTTGTGCTTGTAAGTCGAGGACTACCTGTAGTGCAAAGCTTTGGTATCTGTTGCTGCATGATACGGTTCTCAATTGTAATTATGAGGGACAACTGAGGCACCAAGGTGGAAAGGTTTAGACAAGAAGTGTCCAGACTTCACAGAAAAGAGGGAGAGTTTTTTAGCACATTATTTTCCTCTGTGTGGCAGAGATCTCTCTATGTTATGAGTATGGGTATATTCTTTATTAACCCAATGATCTCTTTTCCTGGAGCTGCTGCTACCAAACATCCTTCACCTCCTTTAAAATACTGTATAGTTAGTTAAAAAACCGCTTCCCAATGGTAGTCTAGATTCACATTGTTCATTATATAGGTGATTTTTGGTGGAGTAGAAAACGTACGTCAAGTATTACAATCAGGGCCATAAGGATAACTACTGTATATGCCAGCGTATTAGGCGACCCGGCGTATAAGCCAACCCCCGTCTTTGTCGCCGAGCCGCATTCCTAGAACGTCATCTTATACACCGGAAACTACCAGTATTACCGGCGTATAAGACAACTCGGCGTATAAGACGACCCGTCTTTGGCGCTGAGTTTAACACTTGCAGAAGTCGTCTTATACGCCGGCATATACGGTACATCTACCTACTCTGTCTGTCTGTCTGTCTGTCTGTCTGTCTGTCTGTCATTTACCTCTATCTCTATTTATCATCTATCATCATCTGTCATCTATCTATGTCTATCTATGTCTATCATTTCTCTATATATACATACATATATATCCATATCCATATCCATAATCTATTTGTTGACCATCTCATTGTTACAGTGACCCTGGAGTCTTGGGAAAATTTTATCGTATTTTTAAAGTGAGAAGTGCTTTCATTATGCATCTTTGGAGCATAGTCAGTAAGATCCAACATACTGTGTTTGGATGATTTGGTGAATGGGGTCATCTCATTTTAGCAAATAAGGAATTTGAAAAACAAAATCTTTGGTGATAAAACTGCAGCAAACCAATTGGCGGGAGGGGAGCTATGTTGCATTAGTTCTTCACCAAATTCTTTTTCTAAACAAAACTAGCTTGTTTTGTTCAGTTTATGATTTATTTTCTATTCCTCCTTTTTTAATCACAGGGAAAAAAGAAAAGACGAACAAGAGAAAAGCAGCAAGACTCCAATTCAGGTAAACCTGCTGGTGTAAAATCTAGCACATTATCTGGTTATTAGTCAAAACAGATTTCTTCCAGGATGTGTAACCATGGTTATTGGGGCTATCTATGCTTTACTATCTGCACTAATCTTTCTAGCTTTGCCACTATCTACAATTATATATTTGTCTGCTATTCCGTGATGACAATATCAAGAGACCAAAAGTAACTAATTCATGTTAACCGCAATTTGACGTTATCAACTTAATCCCATCAATTTAATTTAAAGTCTCTTTACATTTGTGGCTGTTTCAGTTTTTTTTCAATAAAAAATTAGGAAAGCTTAAGTTAAAACATTTATGAAACATTTGACTTCCAATCCAAAAAGCCATTTTTGCTGCAACTACCAAATATACAAGAGGAATCTTTTTAAGACCAAAGGGCTCCATATTTTAAAAAATAAAAAAATAAAAAGCTATGGGCGATACATTACCAGGAAACTGAGTGGGTTCAAAGAGGAAAAAACATGTAAATAAAATAGATTTTAAAATAGATTAAATACAATTCTGCCTTGGCAATACTTGCCAGATCCTGTTTTTATAACTAATTATCTATATTGTGGAAAAGTAGATTTTATGGTGTATGCTTTTCCTTTATAATCAATTAAGATTAATTGCTATTTTTAAAACGTATAAAGGAACTTTCAATCAGCACAAAGGCCTTAGTTTAGGGGACTAGAAATAGTTAACAGGCATGATGCCTGTTAAAACTGTAATAACGGTTTCTAAGAAGGATATAAAAACCTTAACAGACATATTCTCATATATGTTTTTAATATTAGTTTCTCCTTAAAATTAGTTTTCACATATTAAAATGTAATGAATCCATTTTGCCATTAGATAGAACACTTGGTAAGATGCCAACGAAAAAGATTAATTCCAAAATATTTCTTAAATTTAATTTATATTAAGCACATTTTAAATGTTAAATTCATTCTGGATAATGAACATTAGTCAATTTCTCTTTACATGATTCTTGAGCCCTTTTAAAAAAGAAAAGAGAAAAAGTAAAAATTATTTCCAAATCTTCAATAGCAAGAAGAAAGTTCTCTGAGGGCCCCAGCCAAAGCTTTTGGAATGTAAGTTTCCATACATACTGTAATATTGGCTATTGTCTCATATACCTTTGTTCTAGCAATCACATAATTGTCTAGGTCTCAGTGTTTGACACATGAGCTTGGAATCCCTGTTATCAACAATAAAAACAACAGATTCCTATAGAAATTTATTGACGCAGCCATATTTTTTTGGGACTAAGCATCCATGAGCTGAAAAATGTCTACAGAAAACTCAGTCAGGCAGAAGTACTATAAACCCATGTGAAAGCTATGTGTCTAGCTAGAGGATGATCCCTTGCACCACCAGATGCTGCCTCAATCACAATGGCTGGGTGGGCTGGATCTCCAAGAGCTATTGTTCAGCAACATCTGGAGGGCTACACTCCTACTTCTGATCTAGACTGTAGCTAAGTATCATTAATTTCTAAGTGATTTCTTGCTTCCCCCCCCCCTAACCTGTTTAACAATAAGGACTTAGCATATAGGATGTCATATGGGGAAGAATATAACAAAATTCTAATATAAAAAGCAGACCTGCTTGCTTGTTCAACAGAATTTCAGATCTAATCAAACCTAAAGGGCTTTTTCATATATTCTCTAAAAATGCATAGGTTGAAAGACAATAGTGACCAAAATAAAATAAAGAATAAAACCCTAGTATTTTATACTAGTGATCTGCAATTTATTTTCTTAATCATTGCATTTGTGGCTCTATCAAATCTATTTGTTTGAACACTCACTTTTTTTTGGGGGGGGGAGAAAGATGATGCTAGTAGACATTTATGTGAAGAATTGAGTTTACATGGCCTGTTTAGTTTTGTCTTCAGCAGCTAAATCAACGTTGCATCTTTTCTTTCTTCTCCTGCTCTTGCTGCTGTTTGTGCCTCTGCCTTGCCCATTCAATACGCATGCTCCTTGTTCAGATCCTGCCTCTCCTAAGAAATGCAGAGCTCGTTTTGGCCTCAACCAACAAATGGACTGGTGCGGCCCATGCAGGTGTGTATCAGGAACTTTCTCGCTTTGCAGCCTTGTTTCTTACCACAAAGATGGTTGTTCTCTATTTTGATTTATCTCTCTTGCATCATTTCTGTAGCTGCCTTTTCTAACTCTACTAATGGTGCTGCTTAGGCTTACTCTCAATTTCCCACATGCTCCGTTTGAGTGACCTACAGATGCCTTTCTGCATTTAAGGCTGAAGAGAGAAATTAGTAAAATATCTTAGCATAGTATATGGGGAGGGCGGGAACTTTAATTAGAATGGTATACAGAAAATGATTAAATTTTTGGAAAAGGGTATCAGGTTTATTTAAAATGGACTAAATGTAAAAGTGGCAAACTATCAGATTACTTTTTCATGAATCAGCAACCAAAACCTACTGACAGGTACTATATGCCCTTCCTTGCCAATTGCCAATCCAAACAGTATGGCTTCTATGGGCTTTTTAACATGTGGTCCTCCACGATTCTCTCTCTTCTTAGTAGTCCTTTAATAAAAATGACTCCTGCTCCTTAGAATTTTTATTAAGGAAGCAATGACATGTATTATTCTTGGTATCAGTTGATTTCAATACTTATGCATCAACAGTTCCCTACAACTGGTTGTTTTAGTTTCTTATCCTGGCAAATGAAGCAATCTGTGGCTGAAGATAATGTAAACATACAGTCCCCACTTTTTTCTTCCAGAACAGATTCAGACTATTTTTAAAATAATGAATGGAAAAAAAAGCTGTAACACAGGGCTCTTCAAAGATGGGCTTTTATATAGACAGAACTTCCCAATATTTATTTATTTTGGGAGGGGGTAGGATTTCTAAGCAAAATAGGATTCTGCAAATGTAATACAAACCTAATGGCTTCCATTTATGATAGGAACAGTAACAAAGAAGTTATCTGTAAACCAAAGTCTATTTGAGAGATACTGTAACACAGAAAAGGAAGAACACAGAGCCTTCAAACTTTGAGCAATCCTGGTTCAGATCCTTCCTTTCCCATGGAAAACAGATAAAAAAGTATCTACTCACTTTTCCCATAATAACAGCGTTATCTTGCTTTTATTTAGAATAGAAGACAATTTACTTTTCACACTCTTGTCATACTATTGATGGCTCTCAGTACTTTTCTTTGAATTTGGAGAGCTACTTAGCCCTAAGGAAAACCTCGGTGCTCTTTGGAAGCACAATGTCGGGATGTTTATTCTAGATTTGGAAGATCAGGATCTAAAAACATGTTCTCTCAGCCCAACCTGATTTTACCCAATTTGTTGATTCAAGCAATCTGAATCCTCCAATTAAATACAGAATGTTTACTTTGATGATTGGTATAATTTCTTTCAATGCTGGTTTATTGAGCGAAGGAATTCAATACATAATGGCTTCTGTAACAATGTGCAATGGTTGCATCATGTCTACCTAGCCATCAGAACGCTGAACCTCTAGAAAAAAAACCCTTTCAATATTCATTCTGATCTTGTTATTTGCTATTAAATGTTTTCTTTTATAAATGGTATCCATATAGAATACGTTATCAATTAATGTTCAAGACTAGAAACAATAGTGAACTTCTCTAGCAATACAAATATGGCACTCTTAACTTTTCTTTCTGAATATATTTATACTGAGGTAAGAATTAACATTTTGCTTGTAGTGATTCCAGATTAACAAAAGTAGTTGAGCTGCATCTTTGAAGCTAATTCCTTACCTCCTCCTCTTCTAAAATGTGATGCACAAACCAATTTGCACATCTGAAAGGGAGCAGGATAGTGATTATGTCTAGATAGGCAGCACAGCTGGATCTTGGTTGTTGTTAGTTGCGAAGTCGTGTCTGACCCATCGCGACTCCATGGACAATGTTCCTCCAGGCCTTCCTGTCCTCTACCATCTTCTGGAGTCCATTTAAGCTCACGCCTACTGCTTCAGTGACTCCATCCAGCCACCTTATTCTCTGCCGTCCCCTTCTTCTATGCCCTCAATCTTTCCCAGCATTAGGCTGTTCTCCAGTGAGTCCTTCCTTCTCATTAGGTGGACAAAGTACTTCGAGTTTCAACTTCAGGATCTGGCCTTCTAAAGAGCAGTCAGGGTTGATCTCCTACTGCAATTCAAATCCTTGGCTTACAGGTTTATCATTCCCCAAAATAATACGAGTCTACAAATTTTCAAATGTGGCATTCCCTTGAGGTTGTTTCACAATGCAGTAAAGACCTCCAACTTTTAAGACAATTGTTCCATTTCAGTCTGTTTTAGACTCCCTCTCTTCATACTCCCACAGAGCTTGAGTTATGAATGTGGGCTGAGAAAAATCTTCTTTGGCAAGGCCTGTGAGAGAAGATTGAGAGTGCCTTCTCAACACAGGGGAGACATCTCCTGCCATAGGCTGGAAGAATATAGCAGAGCATTATCCAGTGTATCCTAGGCAGAGGCAGCCAGTGGCACCATTGGCCTACTTGTTCTTCTCAAGATAATTGGCCAGGAACATTCCCCAGCAAGTGCTAAATAGGTCAGACAGGTGACAAGCATATGTCACCTGTCCTGACACATGCTTGTCAGACTTTTTGACAGCCAATGCCAAAGGGACTTGAAGTGAAATTGCCACCAGTTCTTCCCATGTTGGTCAACAGTCCACAGATGTGTGGCTGACTGGCATCAATTGTACAACTCTCCAAGGTATAATGGCCAAAATATCACCATTACTCCCCCTACTTTCTTTTTGCATTTATAAGCTGAAAATTCTCAGATTGAAGTGTTTTGAAGCTGGCCACTTTTATTGCATGCTGCAAAGAACTCTGTTGTACTGGTCAAAATCAACCTGTTTGGAAAATCTTTATGTACCAAGAGGGCTCATATAGACTGCCTGTGGTGTCTGCTATAGAACTGCCTAGAATATATCCATCGTAGGGTTGCACCATTGATCCACTCCCATAAGCTGAAGACTTTCCAGGCTACGTAGCTTCATTGCATGCTATGCCAGGCAATTTTGAAGTTGTCTGGCAGAAAATCCATCAACTAATCCTGGGTGGAAAGACTGAGAGAGTTCATTTCCCACAGCCTTTGCCCGAAGTGGTTTGAGAGCACATAAATACCTTAATCAAGGTGAATTAGATTGCATTTTCAGTGAAAATGAATTTGTTTGCGTTCACAGTTCAAGCCTGATTGTCAAAATAAATATTTAATGATTTGCCCAAGCTGTAATGGAAATATGCAGAACTGCAATGGAAAATATAAGATTATAGCTTTTAAATTAATGTGACATCCTTTGTTAGTCAAGCTAGCTAGTCAATGAATTATAATTACTTCATACTTAAGGAAGCAGAATAATTTCTGAAATATGCTCAAGTATGGACAGAGCATCCTTAGAATTACCCCTGCCAAAACCACTACTCATCTCTAATTTTTTTTTTTGGGGGGGGGGGAAGAGGATGCCTTTGACTTCTGTAACGGTTGGACAAGTCCCTGCAGTTTTTAGATAAGATTTCAAGTGGTTTGCTATTGCTTCTTTTCAAGGGTTGAGAAAAATTATTGATCCAAAGTCATCCAGTTGGCTTCATGCCTAAGGTGGAACTAGAACTCATGGTCTCCGGGTTTTAGTCCATTTCTAGTTTCTAACCACTACACCCAACTTAAAACATGATCTGTTCTCCACATAAGTCCTAAAACTAAATTAAGAAAACCCAATTAAATGACTGACTCAAAAACATTATACTTGTTATTTATTGGGAATTATCGAAATCTACATATTCCTGTGTGGTTTGGGGTTTTTTTGGTTTTTTTGGCTTTCAGTAACCCCTTGGAGAGCAATAACCATAATTAAACATTTCTGATAACTTTTTATCTATTTTGCCCATCGGCTTGGAGAAATGTTAGCAGTTTTACAGTTACACCCCCATCTAGTGGTAAAAAATACAACTTGACAGTAAGTTTTTTTTTTAAAAAAAATGCTTCTTACAAAAACTTGAGTGATAGAAGAACAAATATGTTTTTCTGTATAAATCCTTGTTCCTTAGACACTATACTTGTATGACATGCTATAATGGTTTCATTTTTTAAAATATGACCTTGTAAATTCACCCTTTATTTACAGATAACTCTCTTCACTGTTCTTAGGAGGAAAAAGAAGTGCATTCGGTACCTACAAGGAAAAGGACACTGCTCCAGCCCAATTTCTTCCAATGGAAGTACTATAGATTCCCCTCCCTCCCCTTTGGATGTGCTCCAGTGTACATCCCCTGCTTTTATTCCAAACAAGCTCGCTGCTCCTGCTGATCTTATACACCAAAACCAAGCCAATCCTTCTTCTTTATCTGCACATCTCAAAACTGCTACAATCACATCGGGACTTCCTTCTAAATATTCAACAGTGCCTCATAAATCCATAGTGCCAAGTGAATCCTCAGGGTGCAATATGGTATCAATAGGAACATAGTACTAATGTGACAATAAGGCGCACAGATTCATCAGGCACTTTGCTGATTGGTTCTGCCGCATACAGAAGCTACAGAGAGACAACTTCAGCGTGCCATCAAATGGTAGTCTTAAAGTCAGTCAAAAGCCAAATCAAAAAACAACAGTACTGCAGCACTAAAAGTGTTGTCTAAGTAAGGACAGCAACAGTCTCTTTGAAAAGTATGAAGATAAACTTAATTCTGGTCAGTAATTGAATTACTTAATTCCTTTTCCAACTGAGATAAAAACAAAATACACTGATTTAATTGCAGATGAGAGATGCTACAAACATTAAGGCATTTATTAAACTATTATAGTCAAAATCCTGAGTTTCAGCCATCCAATAGATATTACACATTACAAAACCAGTATTGAGTGACAAGCTCAAATGTTCCACAGAAAAAGTATAAAGCAACTTTTAAGAAACTAAAATATTTAATTATGCCTCATCTTTGGGATCAAGGGAGGATGGCATTAATAAATGTTTAATCCAGCAGCTTTATTAGGTGATAAAATAGGAGAAAACATTGGCTGTGAAAGTCTGTCTAGTATTCCAGGCATAGGGCTGTGTGCATCACAATTTTTTAGCTGTAAAGATTTTTTTATGCTATCTACTGTAAAATATGCAAAACTCAAAAATACTTATTTTTCACAGGTTACCGTGCTTTTGCTATGTAATGAATGGGAAATAAGAAAATGATATAAGTTGTGCCTCTATAATCACTAAAAAAATTACTCTGCAGTCTTTGTGGCTTTTTAAAACCTTGCCAAGATATACCCACCATCTATTTCAAGCCAATTGTGATAGCACACTCTACCTATAGAATCATTTCTACAACTGCAATATTGAAGCCTAGTCATATTCTTCATTCTCTGTATCCCTTTTGTCTGTTCTACAGGGAAGATATTTATTTGAAAGTTATACGCTTCCCCAGAGCCCAATTCATTTTCAGTGCTAAGTAAAGTTGATTGCTTTGAACTTTAACCATGTAATCCACACAGATGGTCCCTTTCTGGTGCTTACTTTAGGGATAGTAGTTTTCTCAGAGGACAAATTTAGAGTCACACATTGATACCAACCAATCCCAACATACTGAGATAACATCAATGGAAGTGCTGAGCTACTGGACAAAGGATAGGAAAATTCATAATGTGGAGTAGCTGAAATGGGTGAGTCACTTCATTATCAATGATAAAGTAGATCCCTATCGCCTTTACAATGGTATTTCAACAAACCCTACATTAACCTTTCTGGAAATCAAAGGAAGGTTGCAAAATAACAGCCCTGAAGTGTTTGCAACCCACTTCTCTAACTTTATGGACTTGAAACTAAATCACTTCACTCCATATGAAAGGACCTTAATAAATCTGAACACGGGTGTGAGCATTAACATGACTGGCTAGCATGGACAAAGAATATATAATTCCCTTTTTTTTCCTCCTATGATATTTTTTCTAATGTGGCATGAACTGACATTAAAACCCATTAATTCACCACTCGTAGAGCATGACAGATTACTAGCCCAAACATGTCTCTTGCAGAAGTTGTGAGCAAATGAATGATTAGTGGTTTCTCTTATAATACATCTTAAACTCACTGCTGTAATCACTGTTACGGTCGATGAATCAAAAGTAACTTTTTCAATCAACAAACCTTGTAACTAAGGCAATCTCATAAAAATCTAGCCTTTATTTGGAATAAGAGATTTTTCAATTAAAGACTGATTTTGCATTACGTTTTTCATCTCTTTTTTTTAAACTAAAGCACTATTCTGAAATATTCTTAGACAATTTTTTTACTGTTTATGATATCTCCTTGGGCAAAATCCAATATTGCACCGGTGGAAGATGGCTTGCACAACTAATTATTCTCTTGTGCTATCACTCAATCCCTCCCAGAACAGATGTGGTGGGGGAGTAGGGGTGGGGAGGAAATGTAGGCTGAAGAGAACAGAAGAATTGTCTCCCTCCCTCTTTTCCTAACACCATTCTGTAACTAAAAAGGGCAGCACCAGATTCCATTCTAAGTAAGAACAGCAGTAGCAATACAATACACTCTGATGAAAAGACAATTTGAACCTTTGATTGAACCAAGTTCTGCTCTCACTACAATTTATTGCAATGCCAGTTTTTCAGATTCATATGGAGTATTTTTCTGTAAGTGTATTAATAAACAACATATTTTTTCAGGTCTTATATTGAACAATATAAAGCATACATCTATGACAATTCATATTTGCCTTCTCCCTATTTTGATGGCATCTCTGCACTATCTGAACACACACAGGCCAGGCGAAAATTATTGCTAGTTAAAACCTGAAATAAATTCATATTTAACTAGTGAGAGTAAAATAAGAGGAAAATCTAAATACTTATCCATTGTATCAAGCTTGCTGCTTGTTTTTTTAATTGAGCAACATGAAGCTTAGTAAAGAATGCAGTGTAGAACAAGCATTCTACATTAGCATGTTCATTCTTTAACTGTCTTTTATTGAAGCAACCATATATTGAATCCTTAAGAAATAAAGTTTAGAAAAGCCTACCTCTAAAGCAGTGTTTCTCAACCTTGACAATTTTAAGGCATGTGGACTTCATCTCCCAGAATTCCACAGCCAGCATTGCTGGCTGTGGAATTCTGGGAGTTGAAGTCCACATGCCTTAAAATTGTCAAGGTTGAGAAACACTGCTCTAAAGGAACAAAAAGGAAGAAAAAAACTGATTCAGGTAAATCAAATAGAACTATTTTTACATGCAAGCTAACACACAAAGTTAACTACGCAATTTGCAGCGTTGAGGAGCATGCAGCACATTTCCCATAGTACTTTATTCTGCGGCAATGAGAAGAAACTGCTTCCGATTTTCCCCACTTATCTCTCTTAAAAAGGAAAACAGAAATTTCTGGGGAATGAGAAATCGGTTAACTACAGCTTTAAATCAGTATAAATAATGGTAGGGACAGTCTACAACTTCAAATTAATAATTATTTAACTGTAGACCTACATTTGATATGGACTGAGAAAACTCTTTCATTGACCTCATTTTTTTCAGACTCCAACCATAGTTAACTTCTAACATTCTTTTCCTTCCATTTTCAGAAAGATTAGAAAGAGACAGTAATGCTGACAGGTTACAGTTTGAAAGTAGTGAGTAAGCTGACCATAAATGAATCAAAGGTAGAATTGCAGGTTGATCCTCCTAATACTTGCATGATGTTCTCATTCAAGTATCTTAGGAACTGAAGGGAAACAAGAAGAAAAGTGATTCCTAATCTGAATTTTTGGAATGTTATCAGAAACCTCATTAAACCAAAAATACATAAGCCATAGTCTCTCAGCCACTTTTTTTAGCCATCTGACTTAACCATCCAATATAATGACATGACTGCTAAGAACAGCTGGTAGTATTTTCCCCCATCTTTAGGGCAAAAACTCACCAAAATCCTAAAATAATTTAGCTTCAAAAACTTATCAGAGTTGGGAAAATCCCAGCCCACATACATATAAGAATTTTACTTTACTTTATTTGTCCCTTTGAGTTAGCTTTGATCTACAAAACTACACAAACAAGTCCATGCAATTTTCTTGTGAACATTTTTCAGAAGTGGTTTGCCATTGCATTCATCCTAGGGCCGAGAGACTGTGACTGGTACTAAGTCACAGTTGATGTTGTCTTTCACAGTAGGACTAGAACAGAGTCTCCCAGCTTCCAGCCAGTATCTTTAGCCATACATGAAATAGTCCTCCTGTAAAGCCTTTAGTAACCCATGGAAAACTAGATGTGTCTTTTGGCATCAAAAAATTGCCGAAACCTGATTTCAAGTCTAGCACTCCCCTAGAATATCATCATTTTGAAATTTTATTCTTTAAAATGTTATACTTGATTTCTTCTTCCAGAAAGGGTCACCCAACCAATAGTTCAGAGGAACTCTGAAATTAGTGAAAGCCTCCTGAACCCAATGATATAAACATAGCTCATAAAGAGGCACTTCTGCATTTGCACCTACAATCAGATGAGTCCATAACTAGATGTGCAAAAATGGAACTGAATTAACTATTCAATCAGCATGATTATCATTTATGTAACTAGGAAGATAAGTTATTTTAGTCAAGAGTAGAGCAGTCACAAGAATTTAGAAACATTTAAAAACAATCGAGATTCAAAAAATGCAAGTATCACTTAAATGCCAAAAAGAGATGCTTAAAAACGCTATATTAAATTTTCTGTATTTTGTATTCCCTCGCTGTGTAAAATGAAAGCTTTAATCATGGTGTTTTACTCATGAGTTAAATGTATACACAGCAAGTGCAGTTTTAATGCCACTATTTGCTTTTCTGAAGAGACTGAATGTACCATGTCGTCGAAATTTAACTGTAATAAGCCACAAAAAAAATTTCTGTAAGTATGTAGCAGGGGAAAATTTCTCTCATTTGTACAATTATCATCTGGAGATTTGGTTTTTTTTTAATCTTGAATTTGTTTTGCTTCTTTGTTTAAAATTTGTTTATGGCTTTATAAATAAAAGTGATCTACCAGATTGTCCATTCAAAAATGGGTAACTGGGGACTATAATCCTATAAACAATGTTATATTTTGTGTGTGTGTGTGTGTGTGCATTTCCATATATTATAAAAATATGTGTATGTGACAGTTTATGAAGAAAACAAAGAGCCACAATAATTTTAGATTCATCAAGCATTCGAATTTAAAACTGAACATTTAGCACCTTATCTAACAGCATTAAAAGGACTTTATTCTTAAAGACAGTATGCATTAACTGCAATCAAAACTTCAATCAACACCAGCATCTTAAGTGCATAAATCAACAATGCTAGATTTAGTTAGCCACTTGTAGACAGTGGCAGTGAAAATTGATCGTTCTATTTTCTTTATAATTTCTTTATTTTCTTCCTACAAAAAAAAAAAAAATGCTATTTCAGGGATAAGAGGTTTCCCTCAAGTGGATAGGGCTATACCAGTTGACAGAAAAGCTGCAATTATGTTAAATCTAATAAAGGCACTATAGGAGCAACATGCAGAAGGTGTCTGATTTTGCTGTCTGATTTTGTGTGAGCTCCCCTCTTATTCACTATACATGTACAATACTATATCAGCTGTGATCTTCAACTTTGAGTGAAGTACATATCTCCAACTATTTTAAAGTAACATTTCACTAATTTATATTATCCAATGCTCAGACTGTTTCCTATAGTTAAACTGTGCTTCCCCAAATGAGGCTGTAGCCACCATCAAAGAGAAAGCCATTGTTTTCCATTTGAAAGGGCCCAGTTGAATAGCATTTTTCAAATGGCTAAAACAGATTGGGTCTCATTTTGCATCAGCCATTATTAGAAGGCAAATGGCGCCTTCAAGCCAACGTTGACTCCTAGTAACTGCCTGGATTGCAACTTTCTTGCAAAGATTTTCTGAAGTGTTTTGCCATGAGTTTCTTTGTAAGGTTCAGAGAACCCGACTGGATCCAAAGTCACCCAGCTAGTTTCATACCTAAGATAGAACTAGAACTTATACAGTTTATGCCCTGGTGCCTTAACCACTACTGTATATGGAACTGGTGGGTAAAAACACCTAGCCTGATCTTCCCCTTAAAATTAAAAGAGAAATACCATCTTGTCCCTAACTTTTCTTCAGGGCAAGGGAGTGAAAAACAAATTAGGTGAACAGCTGTTCTTCATTGATGAAAAAGACTAGGGTAATTTGCCAAAATGCATTCTGTGAGATGACAGCCAGCCACACTGCTTTGATCTCAGTTTGCAGACAGCAATGTAGAAGGAAGGAACCAGGATAATTATGAACAGAACTAAGTTTCTGAAACTGAAAGACAAACAATACACATTTTTGAAATCTACAGGGAAGTCTCCATTACTGCTCTTTTGGGCTCTAAGTTCTCTGCCCTTCTTGTTTATATGGCCAAGAAAGCATGGATTTCACCCAAATTTCCAGACAAATGCTACAGTGAGGGAAAAAAAGTATTTGATCCCCTGCTGATTTTTTACATTTGCCTACTGACAAAGAAATGATCAGTCTATAATTTTAACGGTAGGTTTATTTTAACAGTGAGAGAAATAACAAAAAAATCCAGAAAAAACATTTCAAAAAAGTTACAAATTGATTTGCATTTTAATGAGTGAAATAAATATTTGATCCCCTATCCATTAGCAAGATTTCTGGCTTCCAAGTGTCTTTTATACAGGTAATGAGCTGAGATTAGGAGCACTCTCTTAAAGAGAGTGCTCCTAATCTCAGTTTGTTACCTGTATAAAAGTCACCTGTCTACAGAAGCAATTGATCAATCAGATTCCAATCTTGCCACCATGGCCAAGACCAAAGAGTTGTCCAAGGATGTCAGGGCTACAAGACTATTGCCAAGCAGCTTGGTAAGAAGGTGATAACAGTTGGTGTAATTATTTGCAAATGGAAGAAATACAAAATAACTTTCAATCTTCCTCGGTCTGGGCTCCATGCAAGATCTTACCTTGTGGAGTTAAATGATCATGAGAACAGTGAGGAATCAGCCCAGAACTACACATGAGGATCTTGCCAATGATCTCAAGGCAGCTAGGACCATAGTCACCATGAAAACAATTGGTAACACACTACGCCGTGAAGGACTGACATCCTGCAGCACCCACAAGGTCCCCCTGCTCAAGAAAGCACATATATAGACCTGTCTGAAGTTTGCCAATGAACATCTGAATGATTCAGAGAACTGGGTGAAAGTGTTGTGGTCAGATGAGACCAAAATTGAGCTCTTTGGCATCAACTCAACTTGCCGTGTTTGTAGGAGGAGGAATACTGCCTATGACTCCAAGAACACTATCCTCACCATCAAACATGGAGGTGGAAACATTGTGCTTTGGAAGTGTTTTTCTCCTAAGGTGACAGGACAACTTCGCCGCATCAAAGGGATGATGGATGTGGCCATGTACCATCAAATCATGGGTGAGAACCTCCTTCCCTTATACGGGGCATTGAAAATGGGTCGTGGATGGGTATTCCAGCATGGCAATGACCCAAAACACATGGCCAAGGCAACAAAGGAGTGGCTCAAGAAGAAGCATAGAAAATCCCATAGAAAATCTGTGAAGGGAGTTAAAGGTTCGAGCTGCCAAATGTCAGCCTCAAAACCCTAATGACTTGGAGAGGATCTGCAAAGAGGAGTGGGACAAAATCCCTCCTGAGATGTGTGCAAACGTGATGGCCAACTACAAGAAACATCTGACCTCTGACCCTTGCCAACAAGGGTTTTTGCAACCAAATACTAAGTCATGTTTTGCGAAGGGGTAAATACTTATTTCACTCATTAAAATCCAAATCAATTTATAACTTTTTTGAAATGTGTTTTTCTGGATTTTTTTGTAATTCTCTCACTGTTAAAATAAACCTACCATTAAAATTATAGACTGATTATTTCTTTGTTAGTGGGCAAATGTGCAAAACCAGCAGGGGCCCAAATAATTTTTTCCCTCACTGTAATTCTTATCAAGGCAATAACCTCAGTTCTCCTTACTAATTGCTCCCTTATAACAGCTGAACAATGAGAGTGACTAAAAAGGATTTGTATTACCTTTTTTTTTTACAACAGAACACTGCTATCATCTGAAAACAGATTCCAATGCTACCCCATGCTAGGCTCAGTAGGCTGCCCAAGTGTGTTCTGAGACAGCACCTTGAAAATAGCAGTGTATGTATACATAGATAAAACATTTAAGGCACAGAGGTAGAAATAGTGGATGGATTGGAATGGAGACTTTGTTCAGAAACTAAGATTCCATTGCTGTCACATTTTTTATTGTTTTGTTTTTGTTTTTTCATCATTCTCTCATCTAATTGTCATATGTTGAAAAGAGACAAATTCTAAAACTCCATTACTCATTTTATCCTCACTAGATTCTTCAACTGAAACGTATAGTGGTGTCTGAACTATTTTGTAGGAAATACACTTATTTTTATATTAAAATATTATTAGTGATTAATCTTTTTGGCAACCATTTTATTACAAAATGTCTTTATTACTTCTGATAATGACCAAATTTGTGAAATTGCCGAGTATATGCACTTTGTTATGCATAGTTAAATGTTAAAATTCTGTATTGTACATTAAATGCTTAAGCTCATCACTGATCTTTAAATATTTAACTTTTATTCTACCTAGTGTTCATACAGAAAGTGGGGGGAGAGTGCTTATTACATTATTTATTACTTTCTTCCTCTAACCCCTAAACGGAATCACAAAGAATGAAAAAAATACTCAGCTACTGGCAAGTGTTAGGATCTTAATACATATCACCACTCAGCGTGCAATGATAAATCACTGCAATCTGATGTTGTGTTTCTGATAGCTATAAGGAAACACTGAAACCGATATTAACTGTCCAAGAAATTTTTTTCAGAAATCTACTTTTGGTCAAAACTGAAATTTTTATTAGTTTTAAAAATAGGTACATACCAAATACCTATTGACAGAAGTATTAAGTATTTTAGCCAGAAGAGAGCTTTAACTGCTCAGGCGCTACCATGGTCACACCTATATTAGATTAGAATGGTAGGTATCAAGCAAGCTAATTTGCTTTAGTCTAAACAATAATGTCACTACTACAAAAGATGGAAGAATCCCAAAACAATTATTCCAGCTTGTTTTTCCAAAACATATTGTGGTTCTTACTCCATGAATAAAAGTAGGCTTCACCGATTCAGTTTCAGAAAACTTTTGCAATTAATTTTATTTACAAGGTCAGAGACTTCTGAATTCTGACATGCTAAGGATTTTAATGTGACAGTGAAACATTCAGAAGCATGGAAGGTCTAGTTTGTAGTGCTAATTGCCATACAGAACTTTCATGGAGTTTAGTTTTATTTAGGGAAGAGGGAAAAATAAGGAAATCAGATTACACTGATTAAACCATAAAATGTAAATCTATATTCAAACATTACACATGTAAAGAAAACACCACCAGACTAGTACAACTTCATTTGCTGCTGCATTTGTCTAATATTAACAATTATAAACAGAGCAGTGCAACTGATATTTGGAACAATCCTTACAGTGTTGTTAGGGATCAGGCACAAAGCTTCACTTCTCTTCACACCATTGGTTTTCTTTGCGTACCTAAAAATAAAGACAAACCTTACAATTACACCTGAAGAGCTACGTCGAATACCTCTTCTAGATATTTATATATATATAATATATATAAAAATTTTCTTTGCAGTCCAACAATTATAGTGATAGAATTAAAAATAATTTAAAACAATCACACAGTAATTCCATAGTAGAACATTTGACGCAAGTCCGTCTAATTCAGTGGTTCTCAACCTGTGGGTCGGGACCCCATTTGGGGTCGAAGGACCATTTCACGGGGGTCGCCAAACAAGGCTGTCCGCCATTTTTTCCCCTTTTCTTTGGCCATGCCCCTGGCACCCGGTGATGTATAAGTGGTTGGGGGTCACCACAACATGGGGAACTGTATTATGGGGTCGCGGCATTAAAAAGGTTGAGAACCACTGGTCTAATTGGAATCTAACAATAGCAAGACTGAAACGTCCTTCTAATTGGAATCTAACAATAGCAAGACTGAAACTGCTAAGTGTCTCTCTCTCTCCCTCCCTCCCTCCCTCTCCCTCTCTCTCTTGCACCATCCCCTATAATCGGCAATGACTTGTCTATAAAAACAAATATTTTAGAGTCTCACTGCAACATCAGCTTCACAACAAACTATATATATATATTATGCAACAGCTTTACAACAAACTACATATATATATTATGCAATAAAAAGCAACTAATAATTGTAGGATTAAATAATAAATAGATTTTGTTTTAAGTAAAAGGGCTTGACATACCTGGGCTTCTTCCTCTTCAGTGAAGTCATTTTTAATATTGAAAGTCTTGCGGATTTCTTCTGGTGTTTTGCCTTTAATCATATTTGCAACAGTCTTGCATGTCACATCCAGTAAGCCTTTGATATCTAAGTAGTTTGCAGCCTTTACAGAAAGCAACAGATTTTAAAGACTCTGCAAATCAGTGCTCCATTAAATAACAGTGCACATTATATTTCTAGTAGTAATCATACACAAAAGCAACCAGTGATAACTGAAATGAAGCCCAGTGTAACTATTTTCTTGCTGGATCTAAAAATATTATTGCTAAAGGCCTTTCTTCTATTTACAGACTTTGTAAGGATTGCCAGTTAAAATTACACTGTGCTGTTATAAATTCTGTACTTTGGAATAGGTATTCCATACGATACAATATATCAAGTTTTCATTGTTCAACTAGTTCTGCTGAGCTTTCAAAAAGCAACAAGAACTACAAACCGGTAAACATACGTACTTTTTCTAGTTTAAACTTCTGAGATAAACTAAGCAAAATCTCAGCCTTTAATCCTGTAAACACAGTTAATTAAACTTGCTTTCAGTGATTCCATTTACTGAGTTGGCTTGCATTGTCTATCTCTGCATCTTTACAATCATGATGCTTTGACATTTGATATTTTAGATTTCTGGGCATTTTGCTTAACCCAACTGCAAAGTACTTATGACATTAAAATACACACGAGCTCTATTATACTCCAATATTTCATTAGTCTGTCAATATCAGTGGAACAGGACATACTAGGCCAACCTACCAAGATGAGTTCAAAGAGAGTTCCTTGGTCTACTTTGAGAAATTCTTGATCCCACACAGGGATATCATCTGTTCGTTTCTCTTTGTTTTCATCATCCTCAGGAGGTGGTGGATCATCTTTATGATGGGTGCACCACTGAATCACCTTTGGAAATTGAAATATATTATGGAAAAACTTTATAGAATTTATTTTGTTTTCTACTGCTCTAAACTAGCGTTCTACTAGCATCCACAAAGCTTTTGTATAAACATTGTTTAGCACAGGGGTAGGCACCAGAATTCTGGGAGTTGAAGTCCATGAGTCATAAAAGAGCCGAGGTTGCCTACCCCTGGCTTAGCACAATACTGCAAACATGGTTTATGGGTTTAAACAAAAGGCTGTACCCATTTTCAAATTAAACACGCTCAAGTGCCAATCTTTTAGAGGCAGAAAAATAGAAAATATGAATCAGATTTCACATGTTTCTTACATAATTTATTATTCTGAATTCCAGGCATAATTATACTAATATAAAGGATTTAAAGAAAAATAGTCAGAAAAATGATCAACAGAAATGTTCCTAACTAAAATACTTTAGTTTAGCTACTTCCTAGAAAAATATTTTCAATAATATAAAAAATAATGCAAATTTCTATTTTTTTATGTCTAAAATAAAGGTAAAGATAAATCCTTTAACAATTTTGCCAGGATATTGCACTGATTTTAAATATATAATCAAATATTTTCTTTTTCTACAACTATTTGAACCATCTTCTAGTACAGAAACATCATGAATAGAAAGTACTCTAAAATTAAATCTAATTTTAAACATTTAAAAAGTACAAAGTTAAAAATAAACAATTTGCCTAAAAATAAACCAAACAGGAATAATCTAATCAAATAAAAATTGTATATTTGGATTATTATCACAAGAAAGTTCTATTTCGTAGTTTTACCTTTCTAAAGGGTTCTCAGTATGACAAATACTATGACAAAAATAAGAAACCCCCAAATAACTTAAATTAACATTAATTTTAATCAATGCAAGTGATAGAAGAAATAGCACAAAATGGACAACAAAAATGGTGAATAATGGACAACAAATGCAACTTCTAAAGATTCAAGGTCAACCTTGTGTGAAGTGCACTGCAGTGTTCTATATAACAAATGCTTTAATCACTCTCTGTATCAACACAAACTTGCATTTTCCAGAAATGGCATAGATGTTACAATGGCAAAGCTAGACAATAGCATTCTTGACCAGAAAATCGTCCTTCCAGAAGCAACAAGGGATTCAAAAGAACTCCACTAAAAAAACTAATCCTTTGAAAAGAGTCAACTCCACATGGATGAACAGGCCTAATTTTTTCAGAGGAATTGTTTAATTATTAATTGACCGAAGTAGTGTAAAGACATTTGTAATCAATCTTTCAAAATCTAAGTAGCTCACAGAAAATATTCAATAATATACTATTAAACATAAACTTTGCATAAAACACATGTATTAAATATTAAGACAATAGTTAGAACTTAAACAATATTAAATACTATAGTCTATTGTTCTATGAAAACAATTATTGCATGAATGCCAATAATAAACTGCAGTGTGGAAAAACCTCAACCAAAGATGGCCTCGTAGCTTTAGCATTTACTATTGTACAGAAATTCAAGATCTTCAGTTAATAATGACATCATGCCCAACGAAATATATTTAATTTTATCCCACCAATCATATTTTACAATATCACAATAAAAACAACAGAATTAAAACTATCTACAATCCAAATAACAAAAGTATGTATTTTATTAAAATAGAATTATTACCTTTTTTAGTATAGCTGCATTAACATTTGGAAGAGGAACAGGGTCATCATCTCCTTCATCATCCATTCCCAAGTCTAAGAAGGAAAAACAAGCAATGAAAAATATATTAGCAGCCATTTTACTAATAAAATAATTAAGCCAATCTAGCATTTTCAAAAAAACCTTGCTATTTTTGTGTAGAGAGATATGAATAAACAGTTTCTACTACTGCTCCTTAAACATCATCATGGGCCATTATCTAGGCTAGGCATGTCAAATTCATGACATCGCACAACGTATCGTTACTTTTTCCCCATTGCCGAAAATGGAGTGGGTGCGGTTTCAGTATGATGCAGTTTGACATGCCTGATTCTAGGCCATAAAATATTCATAAAAGCAAATGACTTAAGGACCACACTCACATGGCACCACAAAGCACAACCACCACCCCAACCATACACATAGCAACCCCTGCTCAGAACTTGCAACTTACTGGCTTCCTTGTTGACTCTGTTGGAGGCCAGCTGAAGTCACAAATCAAGGTTAACATGAGATCCTAATTTAAAAACCCGCCATCCTCACTTAACAATGGCAATGGTGACTGCCAGGATTGCCATCCCTAAGAAATATGGTCATGTGACATCCTATATATTACTGCATTGTTTAGCAACAGAAATTCCCAATCCCAATCGTTAAGTGAGAACTGTTTATAATTCAAAACATAACCCATATTAAAAAAAATGTTGCACATAAGAAATAAAGCATTATTTTCTCATAACCTTTACTCTTGTATTAACTTAATTGCATCATTTTACTTAAAATTAGTTGTTACCACTGTGCTAAAATATTAAAATTTGAAAAGAGCTGAATGAGAACTATAAAAGTGAGGAATATTTTATTTAAGTCTTCCTAAGCTACTATGATTATTGAAGCACATAACAATATACATTTCATTCTGTTCCCAAAAAATGAGATTAAAACAAATATTTCCAGGCTTACACTGAATAGAGCTGCAAGTACATTTTAATCCATTTTAATTGATGGATTTATCTGGTTTAAAGCAGCTGTCTAATACCCTGAAATAGCAGTGAAGAAACATGACCAGAACAAGTGGCATAAATTCAAGTGTAGCATAAAAGGAGGGCAGATATATCAAGATAATAATAATAATAATAAAGTTGGAAGGGACCTTGGAGGTCATCAAGTCCAAACCCCTGCTCAGGCAGGTAACCCTATACCATTTCAGACAAATGGCTGCCCAGTCTCTTCTTAAAAACTTCCAATGTTGAAGCATTCACCACTTCTGGAGGCAGGTTGTTCCACTGGTTAATTGTTCTGTCAGGAAGTTTCTCCTTAGTTCTAGGTTGCTTCTCTCCTTGATTAGTTTCCATCCGTTGCTTCTTGTCCTGCCTTCAGGCGCTTTGGAAAATAGCTTGACTCCCTCTTCTCTGTGGCAGCCCCTGAGATATTGGAACACTGCTATCATGTCCCCCCTCATCCTTCTCTTCATTAAACTAGACCAAAACTGGATGCAGTATTCCAAGTGTGGTCTTACCAAGGCATTGTAAAGTGTTATTAATACTTCACATGATCTTGATTCTATCCCCGTTAATGCAGCCTAGCATTGTGTTGGCTTTTTGGCAGCTGCAGCACACTGCTGGCTCATATTTAAATGATTGTGCACTAGGACTCCGAGATCCCTCTCACAGTTACTACTATTGAGCAAGGTACCCCCTATACTATACCTGTACATTTGTTTTTTCTTGCCTAAATGTAGAACCTTACTTTTTTCACCACTGAATTTCATTTTGTTAGATAGCGCCCAGTGTTCAAGTCTGTCCAGATGCTCCTGTATCCTGATACAAACATTTTATATAATGGTAAATATATACATTTTAAAAACCCTCCAATGTTATGCCATGGTCTCTGTATAAGTATTTTATGTAGCTGTTCCCTTGTAACTAATCAAAAAGATATCTAGATTTTTTGAAGGAAACAACTTTTTAGAAAATGAAATATAAAATCAAATAATATGGTTCTGTGTTACTTGAAAAAGCATATTTGGTATATACGCTGTAACAGTATACCTCATGCAAAAATTTACCAATTTCAGGAATGGAATATATTTTAAAATAACTTGTATTACAAATGGAGCTACAAGCTGTTCAACTCTAAACAATGTAGTATCACTTTGTTTTCCCCTACTTAGTAAAAATGGACAGGCAAGAGTAATTAAAATAGAAGAAACCACCAATATAATAAAAAAGAAGTTTACATATTCTAAATGTTGTCATCCACTTTATCAATCAGATATAGCAAATATTAATTGGGAGTGTCATAAAGGGATTGAAAATGCATATTTTTATCACACAAAACATCCTTTTCTGAATATATTATTGTTTTATTTCTTTATTCAATGAATTTCCAAACAGACCAATACCTTTCACTCCTTAAATATTTTCTGCATTATTCAAAATAAAAAAATTTACAGAAATAAATTTTAAAAGGTTTCACATTTCCCCTTTCTACTTACTATTACTGGGACAAGCAATCATCTGGATGATTACAACTAGTCCTCAGGTTATGACCATTTGTTCAATGCCATTCAAAGTTATGACAATGTTGTATGGGGGGGGGACTTATGATGGATCCTTGGAGTTCCAGCCATCATAGGGTTCCCATAGCCACATGATTGCAATCTCAGTTCTCAAGACTTGGCTTACAATTAAAACACAGCATGTTGTTGGTCACATGCTCAATTTCTGAGCTTCATGCTGGTTTCCTACAAGCAAAGGCAATGAGGAAGCCAGCAAGAAATAGGAAATCATGATTATGTGAGGTCCTCAACAACCTACACAATTCTTGTTTAACAGTGGCTACTGGTACTGCTGGAATTGCCATCATTAAATGACAGTCATGTGATGTTGTTTTATATAACTACATTGCTTACAACTGCCATTGTAGCCCAAGGACTATCTATTGAAATTGAGAGAGAATGAAATTTAGAAAGTGTCTATAATACAGAATTTGAATACATTATAATCATTTATGGCAGAGAAAAGGGCTAAATTTCTGCAAAAATTACTTACTCCTCCAACATTCAAACTGTTTTAAAAGTAGCTTGAAATCAATGCACTAGATCATAAAAATGTCAAATCCATATTAAAAACACTAGTCAAGTGAAAATTCTGGGAAGAAATCTTTAAAGATTTCTAGACTCTTATTCCAAGGTTTATGAACAATCAATTTAAAAAAATAGGTTATGTGGCTAAATTCCTCATCATTTTTTTTTTAATATACTGACAAGCTGAATTAAGCTTTCATCCTGCAAGGCTTAACTGCTTCCAAAACTTCACATTTTAATTATCTTATGACAGATAATTATGACCCCTTGTAACAGCGTGATGGGTCAGCAGACAAGACATTGGGCTTGTCTGCTGGAAAAACTGGCAGACCAGATTCGAGATCCAAGTGCTATGCAACAGGGTGAGCTCCATCCTTGTCAATCTAGCAGCTGAAGAACCATGTAGATGCAAGTAGATAAATAGGTACCACTTCGGTGGGAAGGTAACGCCATTCTGTGACATCATGCTGGCCACATGACCACGGAAATGTCCTCGGACAGCACTGGCTCAATGGCCTTGAAACGGAATGAGTACTTCCCCCTATAGTCAGCAACAACTAGGGGAGTAAAATCCGCAGGGAGTCCTTTACCTTTTACTTTTCTATTACCTTTATATTATCACTTCACAAGGCTTAACTGTAACCCAATTGCAAGACACAGTAAGAATTCACTATTAGCTCTAAAACAAAAATTAAGACAACCTTACCCATACCTTTGCCAAGAAGCTCTTAGTCTCAGGAAATCCACTTGGTTGTAAAAACCCTCTTAAAAGACAGACATCCCATGACCCCTAAGACTGATTCAAAGATTAAAGTCCAGTTTATCAAATTAAAAATGGTTGGTGTGCAGAAAGAGAGAGAAACAGAAATACAGAAAGCATTTATCTTTATGATGCCCATACCTTCCAGCATAGTCTTGATTGTTACAGACTGTTTTGCAATTTCAACATCAACTTCAAATATTTCTCCATCGGAGCTCTGCAGTTTTATTGAAGGCATCTATAAATGAATGAAAAAATATTTTACCTATATTTTTATGTATGACATTTGTGGTTTCATTAGCATCTCCTATCAAAAAAGAGACAGTAAACCATATTTACAAAGGATTTTTTTTGTTTTGCAATGCTCAATTTCATCCATCCCTGCATCATCATAATGTGGTCAATAATATTAGCTAAGTAAAGCAAACCATTTAAGGTATGGTTTGTTTAAAAGTAATGGCTAAAAAAAAGGCTTGATCAGATTACAACTTACTCTGACTATATTTGCAATGTTGCCAAACTAATCTTTATTATGGAATATTGGTGCATAAGACTAAAATACATATTTTGATCAAGTATTTCAAGAAGCTTGTTTAACCTTTTTTTGCCTTTTAATGTTTCAAAGCAACTTTTTACTTTCCAATATAAAGTGCTGCACATGCCTAATAAAAATTTATGACCAAAACCCAATAATATATTATTAAAAAATTCCTTTAAGGGCTCTATCATCTCATCACTTAAAATCTTATAATAAATTGATGTCAATCCATCGGTACCCAAATTATTTTTCAAGATATAGAACCAGAAATCACTAAATATATGAATCTAGTATCTAAAAAGTACACAATCTACTTTGGATAAGATCAAGCAAAATTCGTAATTTTAGCTGCAGTGACCCCTTAAAACAAAAGTGGATAATAAATTTCTTAGTATTCCGTAAGTACTGCATACTACCTTGGAGAGCTCAAGGCACAATATTTTTCATAAGGAAAGTTCCCATTAAAATCATAAGCATTTTTAATAAACAAAATATACCTGTAATGTTAAGCATCAATTGTAACAGTATAAACATTTTAATTGTGCAGCACTGGGATCAGGATGAATCTGTTTAGTCAAAATGGACACTTTAATCCTCATTTAAATCCTCTGATTTAGGACATCATTAAATCCTAAGGCTAGGTTTGCATCCAGCCCTTTTATCATTGTTACTTGCATTTTTTCCAATAAGCTTAAAACTCACCAGATCGTTAATAGAGTTTTTATAAGCCCTTCAGATTAAAGGGCAATCGTGACTAAGCATTAGGGTAGCCTCTGCATAAAACAAGAGAAGGTTAAGTGGCCGGCTAGCTACGTCAGCCCTATCCTTTATTTCTCTCACTACGGTATTCTTGCTTCGCTCCGGCAAAACAACTCTCCTCTTGAAGTGTGCACGGTTTACAAATTAAAGACGCCCTGCGAAAACTCACAGTCAAGAAATGCAGCACGTATCAACTCCCTTTTTTAAAAAAACAAAACAAAACAAAACCCCATTTCCTTAACAGGAGGGAAACAGGATGAGAAAATGCTCCACTGGCTCGGGAGAGGAACCTCTGTAAAGGAGTGCGGATTCCTAGAGTCAGTCACCTTCCCTCCCTTCCTCCGTCTCCAGGACAAGCCGGGCTACTGGAAGAGATGGCGGAGGCGGCCCTTCGGCTGCGCGTCTCCGCACCCCTTTCCGAGGAAAAAGCCGCTCCCTTAGCAACCACCTGCAATAGGTTCTCAAGCCGTCATCCCTGTCCTCCCCTGCGGCCTTACAAGCCTCCTCCTCCTCCTAACTTTGTTCTCGCCCCTCACCATCCGCTGAGGAGGCCCGAACCTCAACCAGGCCTCGGCCTCACTCACCGTGAGGCAGCACAACGGCGGCGGCGGCGGCAACGGTGGCGCCTTTTAGCCTCTCCCCACAAAACACACCACACAACTCAAATTAAAGGCGCACTGGAGCGCTTTGCGGCCGCTGCATTTTATAAAGTTGGGGGCGGAGCGGATCCGAACCGAGGGCCCAATCGTTGTCCCCGCCCCTTCCACTCACGGCGCTGGGTAGGTCATTTGAGTGCCTGCGCTGGACGACTCAGCAGGCAACGCGTCCCCCCTCCCCGCTTCATCATAGATGGACTGCGGAAGGACCGAGAGGGGAATAACCAAATTTATATAAAAAGGAAGAAAGAGACCCTTAAACGTATTTAGATAATAAGTATCTCGGGGTCCTTCAGGCAGACTCGGAAGTTGCCGGTACAAGCCCGCTCATAAGGATGGCGACGATTTTACGTCATAATAGAAAGGACGGTTTCTCGTTTATTCTGGGCGACATACTTATATTCCTTTCTCATTTCTCTGTTGTAGTTGGACAATTACGTAATTCATGTCTGATAATCCTGGGTGCTGTGTGAATCCAGCTCCTTATGGTTATTATTCTGTGGGGTTATTTGCCACACACACACACAAGATGTTAAGTAATTGATAAAGACAGAGAAATTGAAATAGAAGATATAAAGCAGTTCATTGCTGCCGAGGAAATTAAATTTACTATGTTAGAGTTATATGTGTGTGTCCACAAATTCATCAGACGTTTCAACGAACCCTTGGGTTATAAGTGAATCAGTCCAAGTATGTTTTCCACATGTAATCATTGGTAAAAAAAAACAAAAAAACTACCATCACCCTAACATTGGCACAGGCTCTACATCTACTGTTTTATATCAAGTAAGATGTTAGTTGCCATTACCCAGCTAGGAGAATTATTCAGGTTGTTTCTTTAGCAAGAATAAAAATTGATGTATTGGTTATTCACCCTCTCCCCCCCCAAAAAAAAAGTTTTAACAGCATGGATGTTTGAAAGAAGCGTATAAAGGGGTCTGCTTATATAATAGCATTACATTTACTCCTCCCATCACAATAATATTTCAAATGTACATTACGTTTTCTCCTCCTCCCCTCCCTCCCAATAAATATAATTTTGAGAGGGAGCATCTATTGAAGCACTATTTCCAAATCAAGGAACAGATTCAATTCTCTAACACTAAGCCAGTGATGTTTGGAATCAGAGGTCTCTTGCCACTTAAACCAACGTTTAAATTAAAGCAAAAACTACCCCCAAAAGCAGTCCTAAACTACCTCAGATGAATGCCATATGTTTGATATCACAGCAATATCACAATTTATGTCCTTACTACTCCCTCCCACTTTTATGCATCAGTCATAAGACAGAAAACCTTTTTGTTCCAAGCTGGAAAATCTCACCTCTGTTGCTTGATAAATATAGTGCATATTAGTGTCATCAAACACCACCTTCTAGTATTTGTAGAAGTGGATTGTTCAATCTTCGAGCATTAAATTTTCTCTTAGGCATATGGAGTGAACTGCAGCAAAAAAGACAAGTCCAAATAGATCTAGAAGTATTACAAACCCAACACAAGGGATAGCAATCGCTGCCAGCCACAGTGAAATACTTAGCCCAGATATTGATGAAAATAATCTGATTCCCCCCCATCACCAACAGGTATAATATAACCCTTGTTTAGCAACTGCCCTGTTTAGCAAAAATTGCATTTATGATGATGAAGATAATTTTGCAAGCAATCCTTGGATCTATGACCTTCGCAGCCCTGTGAAGCAGAGAACTTGAAGTGAGTCCATAAGCAGTTCCAATTACACTTAGCAACCAGTTAACAATTGAGTTGTTAGGTCACTAAACAAGGATTACTTGTAAGTAAAATTGTCTTTGAATTAAGCATGAACTGAACAATTTATATTGATATCTCCATGGATTCTCATTGAGTTAGTTCTGTCTTACCACTTTTCAGGATGTTTTCCAAGTTCCTGAACAAACCAACTGTATACTTCCTAGATGTTTCCTAATTAGCTTTCTAGATAAGGTACTTTGGCTAGGTACTACCCCCCACCCCAAAAAATAAAAGGATTTATCTATGACTTCCTTTCTGGCCATGCTAACTATATTTTCAAAACATGACTCTTTAAAACAAGTTAAGAGTATTAAAACATGTTAAAGGCTAACAGACCTATCATATGAACTTTCATAGATCACAATCAACTTGTTAGGTTTATTAAATACCACTAAATTGCCCACTGTTTTGTGATGTAAATGACTAGGTATGATGTGTTTTCCTATTAGTATGTTAACAAAGAAGTATAAAATAGTCCATACTTTATTATGTTCAAGTTATTCTAAACATTTACTACCTGTATTTTCAACTGAGCAATTTTAAACGATTCTTCTGCATAATATATAGGCTCACAAGACCCATCAATAGGTCTTTTTTTTTTTTTCAAAAGAACAATTTCAACTTTCTCTTTCACTTCCAGAAACCATATTTAACCAAGGACAGTAACTTGCTTAGAAAAATGCCTTAAAAGCAGCCAATTAGACAATGAAATCCAAAAAGCAGCAGGGTGATTTCCACTTTGAGAAGCTTCTCCAATCATCATGGCATAGGAATTGCAATCACGAAAGTTACTATATTTAAAATCCGGTAACATACTGTACATGGAAACATTTTCTAATAATCTGCTTAAATATGGGATCACGTGGAAAAAAGATGATGCAAAATGAAGTTGCAGTATATTATTCAGTTAAAACAGTGCAAGAAAAATGAATTGTTCAAACTAGTGTTTCATCTGGCTAATTCACAGAAAAACCTGGCCACTTTTAGCTTATTACTTATGTTTTTTTTCTTACCAATATTTTAGCTGGCATCAACTTTCTATTTGAAGATATATATTTTTTTAATAGTTGGAGTTAAATTTCTATTTGGAGTCTATATTTGGAATTAAATTTCTATTAAAATGAATATTCTAGTAAACTGACACTAGGGGGAAATGAAGAGTAATAATGGTACTGATAGTTTCTTTATAATAGTTGTCCCTTTTTGGTTTTTTGCAACAATATCTTAAGAAAAGCTCAATTTTTGAATTTTTTCCAGGAAAAGGAAACTGAAAAGTATATATTTATAGAGTTATATATGTAGACTTAAAAATACCTTGGCTAGGAATAACAAAAGCAATTTTTCCAGCTTCTGAACAGCAACCCTTGCTAAAGGCCAACTACTTGAAATTGAAGATATCAGCCCACTTCATTCCATGAAAATGTTTTAAGAATCACAAAGTATGCACAACACTTTAACATGCCCTGTGCACATAAGGACTTTTCTTCCAACTTCATTATTCTGTTACTACTTTATTGAATGGTAAGTAAAAACACTAGTTACAAAGGAAGAGGAAATCACTGTTAATACATGTTTTGATTTTCACATTTGAGACAATCAGTTACAGGTGGCTTGTTGGTATATCCCCATTGTTACACTATTCCCATTATCATTCAACAAATATGTGATACCAACAATTACAAGTAAGAATTTAACTTCCATCGTAATAGGCTCATTTTTCCTAGCTATTTAAATATCCCAAGTTCTGGGATCAGAATATATTCAACTAGTATTTGGAGTATTTAGTCTATGACTTATTCACTGCCTTCTGCTCAAACCGAGGGAAAGTAAACTGCCCAAGACAGAGTCATAATGTGTATGAGAGACTGTTATTACTAAGAATGAGTACAGAGTATTGAGATTGATTTATGATCTCTCACCAGTTCCTTTCCATTCTTCATTCAGTAGCACAGAAGCAGTAACCTCATATTCTTTTGCTTAAAAGTATAAAAAGAAACTTCATCGGGAACATTGAGGATATATAATTTTTAGGACTATGCTTAGGTGAAGTAAGATTTAACTTCACAATCGTGGCTTTTCCACTTTAAATATAGAATTAAATGTCAGAAGATCTGTTTCACAGAATAGTATTTAACAAATGTTAATAGAATTATGGCAGTAATTATTTGCGTTCCTAATACATCACAGATTACCAGATCTGATCCTTAGATTTTGATTTTTACGTACCGTAATATGTTTCCTGAACTCAGTATTGTTTGGGTCCTTCAAAGGTTCAAAGAGACATAAAAGCTATTTTTTTATTAAATACAACATGATATGTGCTTGCAATACATTTTAAAGTCAACCATCTTCCAAACTTAGTTCACAAGTTTATTATGAAAAATGCTGCAACACTCTCCTGCAGCAACGTCTTACAGAAATAAATTGTTCTTTCAAAGTAATTCACTATGATGAACACATACATGGGACACTTTGTAGAGGAAAAGTGTGAGAGAAAAATGGGGTGGGAACAGAGTTCAGATGAAACAATAAGACAATTAAATTAAACTGTTTCCCTAAAAAACAAAGTAAGAACACAAATAAGAAAAGTCAGTCTTGGTGCTTATTTAAAATGTTCATTAAGCTTCAATGATAGTTTGCTATTCTTATCTACAATCATGCTGGAAAGCTAAAGCTAAATGGAAAGTTACTTGTAATTCACGAAGTGTTTAAATGTCTACGTATTAATATTTGCAGTCTCTCAGAGAAAGCAAAAGTAACTACAAGTAGAACTATGCCAGAAACTGATTTCTTGACCAACAATGTTGCTTCAAGCATGCAATGAACTGGTTCATTCTAAAGTGGTCACAGTCGCTGACAGACAAGAGGCTTTGAATTTCAATATGGCACATCTTTTGGTCCATGTGAAAACAGGTTTGAATGTTAAATGTTTTCTGACACTTTGGAGTTACTGTTGCTCTTCCCATGTTCCTTTAGGTCAACACATGGTTCATGGCAATACTGTACAAGTGGAAAATCTCATTACAGAAAGTAGTCTGGGGTGCGACGAGTAACATGTGGTTCACCTCTGCGTGGTGCCGGATCAAACTGCAAACTGAAATAGAGAATTAGAATTTGTTGATCTCCTGATGTTTTTAAAATAATCTGTAATATACTTCACACAGTTTGAAATTTCAAAGAATACTTTAGAATAATTTCTTCAGAAGGACAGAGAAGCTTCCCTATAATGCCACTAATTGTAATTGTAATAATAATAATAAAAAAAAAG